TCCCCACCTGCTGGGCCCCCGCCCGGCTCCCAGGGTCCCCTGGGCCCGCCCAGGCTCAGCCTCTTCCGTCGGAGAGGCCTGGGGGGCCCGCAGTGGCCGCCCCCGGGGAGCCGTGTGCTGGCCGGCCCAGGCTGCACAGGACCCGGTCTGGCAGGCTGGGCACCAGGGCACCGGGGCACCTCTAGGAAGCCCTGCCCGGGGCAGCTCCCCAGCTGGCCTGACACCCGCCTGGCACGGTGACCGGGCAGCCTGGCCAGGCAGTGGGAAGGGAGGCCGCCCTGGGGAGTGTCCTGGGTGACCCGCCTGCCAGGGGCAGAGGAGGCTGGGAGGGGCTGCCGGTGCCAGGCAGGCCGCGGGGCGACACGCAGACAGGAAGGGCTCTGTGTTGTGCTGGCCACTGGGCCGGCCCTGGGTGGTCTGAGAGGCTGGGCTCTCTGCTTGGTGGGGGGGCAGGGCCAGTGCTCGCCTCTTTCATCTGTCTCTGTCTCTCTGCCTCCATCTCTCTGTGTCTCTGTGTCTCTCTGTCTCTGTGTCTCTGTGTCTGTCTCTGTGTCTCTCTCTGTCTCTGTGTGTGTCTCTCTGTGTCTCTGTGTCTCTCTCTCTGTCTCTGTCTATGTCTCCCTGTCTCTGTCTCTCTCTGTCTCTGGCTCGCAGACCCCCAACAAGGACGAAGCTGCCTCTCTCCGGGCAGCGCCCCCAGGTGCCCCAGTGTGGCTGTCACTCAGTAAATCTCCGTGGAACGAGTCACCGTCGGGGCCAGTGCCTGGTCAGAGGTCAGAGCAGGAGGAGGCCGCAGGGGGCAGGCCTGGGGCGAGGGCTGTGCTTGGCTTTGGCCAGGGCCAGGCCCTGGAGCCCCCTCCCGCGCCTCCTGGGGAATAAGGTTTGGGGGGGCCTGATGCCACCCCCTCTACCAGCCCCTGCCCACAGCCCCACCCAGAATGGGGCGAGGGTGGCCTGTGCCCAGACCTGGCCCATGGGGGCGGCTCCCTCTGGGAAAAGCCGGGGGTCTCCAGGCCAGAGGCAGAGGGGGCCCCACCGGCAGGCCTGCGGGAGGGCCTGCCCAGCCTGGATTCTGGGGGCAGCGACCAAGTCAAGGTCACGCACTGCCCTGTTCAGCCACCTACCCGGTGGGGGAGGGGCAGGAGCTCAAAGCTCCAGAGGGAAGTTACAGGGGCGTCCCCCGGGCTCCGCCCTCCTGCCTCCCCCACCCCATGCCACTCTCTGGGGCTGGTCACCAGGTCTCACCTTGTGCCCTAGAGGCTGGCAGGACCGGAGAGGGTGCTGCCCTGTGAGCCTCCCGGGGACGCTGGGCGGCTGCTGGCAGGTGGACGGGCAGGGCCGGTGGCCAGGCTCTGGGGCTGCCCCTCGGGTGGGGGACGTGGGTGCTGCGGGTCACGAGGCCTGTGGGCAGCCGGGGAGCGGCTGGCAGGTGGGGCCTGGCCTGCAGCCACCTGGCTGCTCAGGCACTTCATGGCCGGACACTGCCCAGCAGCCCTGACGGCCAGGCCAGCGTCGGGGCCACTCAGGCCACCCTGACCCTCCCTCTTCTTTCATTTTGTTAAGAATCCAACGCCCTGGCCGGTGGCTCCAGGTGGTTGCGGCGGCGTCCTGGCCACCACCAGGTTTCGGGGCGATCCCGTCAGCGTGTGCGCCCGAGGCAACTGGTCACGGTTTCTCTCTCCCTCGCCCCCATTCCTCTCTCTAAAGTCAATTAAAAAAACAAACAGGTCCTGGGGGGAGGATTAAACAAAAAAAACCTGAAAGAAAAGAATTCAAAGTCTGTCTGGGGAAGCCGTGGACGTCTTGCTCCCTGTATGATTGTCAGTTTGGCTCGAATAAACTCATAAAAATTCTTAAAATAAAAACTTCGTATGGATTTGCCTGTGGGACACAGTATAGACTGGGGGTCGGGGGGGGAGCGGCTGCCTCAGGTCTGAACTCACCCAGCACCCCGAAGTGCAGGCCAGGCCCGGCGCTGTGCCCCCCACCGGCCTGCCGCCCACCAGCCTCCCTGCCCCTCGTCCACCACCGCCCATCGTCCCGCGGGGCCTGGCGGGGGCGGGCAGTGGGTGGGGCAGGGGACCGCAGCCTTCATCACCCTGACCCCCCACCCCCCGGGATCTAAGCGCCCCCAGGCCTCACGGAGCAGCCCCGGCCCCAGGGCAGCGTCAGGGGCCCAGCTTGTGGTCCCATTGGACCCCTAGGCCCTGGGGCCCCGCCTGGTTTGCTTTGGTGACTGGAGAGTGGGGTTCACACGTGTCTGCAGAGAGTTTACTACGCAGGAGCCGGCCCCGCCCGAGTCCCCAGGAGCCGCGTGTGGCTCCCGCCCTGAGCTGCGTGATTGGGGTTAATTCCCGGGGCCTCCTGGCGGGGAGACGCAGCGGCTGCCCCTGTGTCCGCACCGTCTTCTTCCCACACTGAGACGTCGTTTCCGTGGTTTTCCTTCGACAGGAATGAGTTTCGTCTTGAAGAGAAGGGAGAGCGGCTGATTGGCTGGGTCCCGGGGCAGCCGCGGGGGGAAGGGGTTTGCAGAGGGGGGCCGGTCACTGGGGCCCGTGGAGGCCCTGCCCTGCGTCCGGGCGGCCGTCACCCTTGCGGGCGGCCGTCCCACCGGCTCTACCTCCGCGGCTCCGGGCAGGAGCCCCCCCCGCCCCCCCCACCCCCCGCCCCCTGCCGAGGTGCTCTGACCCGGAGTCAGCGGCCCCCACGCCCACCGGGCACCGGCCCGGCCTCTCCTCACGGCCCGCCCGGCGGAAGCTCTGCTGAACCAGAAACCTGTGGCCACCAGCTCCTGGAGCCTGAAGGGGCCCCAGCTGCCCCCCCCCCCGCACCCCCGCTCAGGCTCACAGTTATGTCAGCTCCCCCAGAGGAGGCTCTGCACCCCTTTGCCTCGCTGGCTCTCTCATTCGCTCCCGCGTGGCCCCGGAGAGGAGCTGGGTAGGGAAGCTCCTGGGGTCCTGCAGGGCCCGCTCCATCCTCCCACCCACCGCTGATTGGTGCTGAGGGAAAATTGGTGGGAAACCTTCCAACAGAGACGCCGGGAGGGCGGGCGCTGGGGTGGCGGCCAGGGCAGGTCGGGAAGGAAGGGCGGGCGTCGGGCTGAGGCTGGGCCTCTTGTCTTCCAAGTCAGAACAGTGATCCCACGTGGCCCCACCTCTGAAGGCCAACCAGCCTCTCTTCCACCCACAGTCACCTGACCACCCATCTCTCCACCTGTCCATCCATGTGCTCGTCCATCCACTCTCTGCCCACCCCCTCTTCCCACCCACCACCCATCCACCACCCACCCATCCACTCACCCACCAATGCATCCATCCACCCACCCACCCACCCACCCATCCACCCACCCACCCATCCATCCACCCACTAATCATCCATCAACCCACCCATCCAACCACTAATCCACCAATCCATCATCCATCCACCCACCCACCCACCCATCCATCCACCATCCATCAAACCACCCATCCACCCATCCATCATCTACTTCATTCATCCACCCATCTACCCACCCATCCACCCATCCATCCACCTCATTCGTCCATCTACCCACCCACTAACCCCCACCCTCTTCTTTCCATCTGCTCCCCCGACCCTCCAGCTCATCACCTGTCAGTCCTTCCTGCCTCACCCCCCCACCGGGCTTGCCTCCAGCGCCTCCCTCACTGCCTGGCGCAGGCGGAGCAGGTGCTCCAGATCCACGCTGACCAGCACAGGTGAACGCGGCCCCTGGAGGCCACACTGCGCCGGGCCCTGAGGCCGCACAGACGCCGCCCAGGAGACGACGAACAAGACAGTAAGTAAAGCCGGGGCGAGCGAAGGCGGGAACACGGACCCAGGAGCCAGTGGGAGGAGTCGCTGGGGTGGGTGCGCGAGGGGCCGGGAGGCCTCCCGAAAGGGCCGAGGCAGGAGAGCAGAGCAGAGGAGAGGAGGGCCGGGGCGGGTTCAGCTGGGGGGGGGCTCGGGTCCTGGTAGCGACTGGGTGTCACCTGATGTCACCTGCTGGGACCGTGCGGGCTGGGGATGAGCTTCGAAGGGTCGGGCGGGAACGCGGCTCGGGGCATGTTTAGTCGGACGGCCTCCCACACCCCGGGGAGGCCGCACCTGTACCCTGAGCGTCGCTGTACCCCGAGCCTCGCAGCTGGCCGTCATGGTCTGGAGCTGGGGAGAGGCCCAGGGAGGTGGGACGGAGCCCCAGCCCCAACGCTGGGCGGTCAGGGGCCTGGTGGGGTTGCCGTGGCAGCCGTGGTCCCTGAGCCATGGGAGGGTGTGGGCCTGGCTCAGAGGGTGCCCGGGGGCCCCGAGGGGATGTGCTGACAGGAGCAGGCCCTGCTGGCCCCTGCCCGCGCCCATTTCCCCGGGAGGAGGAAGCGGGTGGTCAGCTGAGAGGACGGGGAGGAGAGGGACCAGCGGGCGTGCATCCGGGTTCTCTGGGACGGGTGAGCCCACGGGGAGGGGCGTCCAATGACGGCGGCACGGCCCGCCCTTCGGTGCTGAGCATGTGTCCGGCCGGGCCCCCCCCGCCCCCCCGTAGCCCCCGCGCGCAGCCCGCCAGCCCTGCTCGTCCTGGGTGAAGCTCAGATGTGCAGCCCATTTCTCGAAAACCAATCCCCTGACACTGGCCCCCGAGTTCTCCTTTGGGAGCCGGTTCTGAGTCCCCAGGCCGCCCGCAGCCCTGCGTCCCCACGGAGGCCGGGGCGAGGGGAGGAGGCGAGCGGTCAGCTGGGCCGGCTGCGCTGCAGGACGGGGAGCGCGTGGGGTGCGGACGGCCACCCGGAGCCACCGCCACGTGTCGGGGTAGAGGGGCTGCGCGTCGTCGTTGTCAACATTGAGCACTTTATTAACACCAGGGGTTCTGGGGCGTGGGGGGGCTGCCTGGGGGGGGCCGCCTGGGGAGGGGGGGCCGCCTGGGGAGCGTGGGGGCCGCCTGGGGAGCGTGGGGGGGGCCGCCTGGGGAGGGGGGGCCGCCTGGGGAGCGTGGGGGGGCCGCCTGGGGAGGGGGCGGGGGTGGCGCCCCGGGAAGCAGCGGCGGCGTTTCTGTCCTTCAGGATGAGGTGGTGTCCGGAGGGGACGCCTGTCCCCGGGGGTGGGCGGCCCTCCTGGGCCCAGGCTCGGGGGCTCTCTCCAGGGCGGGGGCGCTGCTGGCTGGGCCCCTGGCGGACACCCGGAGGTGTTTGAAGGCCGTGGGCAGCCTGCGGCCCAGGAACGGGGGGGTGGTCACGTCCTGGATCATGATGACGTACTCCCCTGTGGGAGACAGGAGAGGCTCGGACTGACCCACCCCCCATGGCACCCCAGAGCCTCCCGCCCCGCCCCCACCTGCCCGGACCTGGCTGCCCTCTGCCCAGCTGCTGGGGCACACGGTGAAGAAATGAATTTGGGCCCTGGCTGGTGTGGCTCAGTGGATAGAGCATCGCCTGTGGACTGAAGGGTCCCGGTTCAGTTCCCGGTCGGGGCACAGGCCCGGGTTGTGGGCGTGATCCCCAGTGTGGGGCGGGCAGGAGGCAGCCGATCCCTGATTCTCTCTCATCACTGATGTTCCCTCTCTCTCTCCCTCTCCCTTCCTCTCTGACGTCAACCCTACATAATAAAAGGCTAATATGCAAATAGACCGAACAGTGGAACGGCCTGTTGCCATGACGCACACTGGCCACCAGGGGGCAGACGCTCAACACAGGAGCTGCCCTGGGGGTCAGTGTGCTCCCACGGTGGGAGCCCTGCTCAGCCAGAAGCCAGGCTGACGGCTGGCGAGCCCCATGGCCTCTCCCTCCTCCGTGGCAGCCGCTGTGGCAGTCGCCGAGGGCTCCCGGACCGCCGAAGGGTGCAGGCCGGGCAGAGTGGTCCCCCCACCCCCCAATGCACAAATGTCACACACCCGGCCTCTAGTAAAAATATATTTTAAAAAAAGAGATGAATTTGGGCGAGTGAACTACCTGCACCCTCAGGACACAGGCCCGGCTGCAGGTGAGCTCCTGGGCAGAGCTGGGGCCCGACTGGAGGGCAGGGCTGTGAGGGGGGCAGGGCAGGGCCCATGGGGGGTGCGGGGTGGGGCGGGCAGAGAGTGCCCTTCCCGCTGGGGCCACGTGGCTGGGATCCTTTAGAAAGTACCTCCCCACCTTTTAGGAGAAAAATAATTCACTTCCTCTAAAGTGTTTTTCCAAATAACCAAGGCTCTAAGACCTGGCTGCCTATTTTGAAGCCCCCCCCATTCTGCTGGGGGAGCAGTTTGGGGGGGATCGTGGGGGACCAGGGTGTGGAGGGATTGCTCTGCTGGGGGAGCAGTTTGGGGGGATCGTGGGGGACCAGGGTGTGGAGGGATTGCTCTGCTGGGGGAGCAGTTTGGGGGGGATCGTGGGGGACCAGGGTGTGGAGGGATTGCTCTGCTGGGGGAGCAGTTTGGGGGGATCGTGGGGGGACCAGGGTGTGGGGGGATTGCTCTGCTGGGGGAGCAGTTTGGGGGGGTCGTGGGGGACCAGGGTGTGGGGGGATTGCTCTGCTGGGGGAGCAGTTTGGGGGGGTCGTGGGGGACCAGGGTGTGGAGGGATTGCTCTGCTGGGGGGGCAGTTGGGGGTCGTGGGGGACCAGGGTGTGGGGGGATTGCTCTGCTGGGGGGCAGTTGGGGTCGTGGGGGACCAGGGTGTGGAGGGATTGCTCTGCTGGGGGGGCAGTTGGGGGTCGTGGGGGACCAGGGTGTGGGGGGATTGCTCTGCTGGGGGGGCAGTTGGGGGTCGTGGGGGACCAGGGTGTGGGGGGATTGCTCTGCTGGGGGGGCAGTTGGGGGTCGTGGGGGACCAGGGTGTGGGGGGATTGCTCTGCTGGGGGGATTGTTGGGGGGTTGTGGGGGACCAGGGTGTGGGGGGGGAAAGCACATCCCCTCTTTGCAGCCCGAACGCTGTCTGGAGGGCCTCAAAGTTGGAGAAACAGAAAGAGGAAAATGAGGACGCACAGAGGGAGGTTGCCATGGGAACCGCCCCTCCCTCCCGGGCGGGGGGCTGGCAGGGCGCGTGGAAAAAGCTCGCGGCTGGCCCGGCTCACACAGGAATGCGCGCAGCTGAGCGGGCGGGAGGGAGGCGCCCGGGCCCCAGGACAGGCGGGGCGGGGGGTACCCCGCGCGGCAGGGCTGTGGGGTGCGCCCCGGGGCAGGACCCAGGACGAGAGGACCGGCCGGCGGGAGTGGGCTTGGCCCGGAGTCGGCTCCTCTGGAGCCGCGGGTGGCCCGGCTGGGGCGCTGGGAGGGGCCGCATTCCTCACCCGGGCGCCGGCCAGGGGCGGAGGGGGCACATGGCAACGCCGTGTTTCCGGGCGTCTCTAGGTGTTCCCGGGAGCGGGGCCCCGCGGGGACTCCGTGGGCAGCGGCCACGGCCCAGCCCAGCCCTCCTCTGACCCCGTCCCGAGGCCTCGGCGGAGGGAGGGAGCCTGGCCGGTGGCCACCCCGCTGGCCTCAGCCACCCAGGCCGGGCCGGCCGCCACGTGGTCCCGGTGGCCCTGCGCCCGGAAGCCCTTCTCCTCAGGCCCCTCGAAGTGCAGGCGACCCACACTGGCCCCCCAAGACAGCCAGGGGCGTCCCCTCCCCTCTCTTCAGTCACACATGGGGGTCCTGAAAGGGGGTGATCCCGGGGCCAGCCCGTCGGAGGGTCAGCACACGGCCGGGGGCACTGCCAGGCCCGGCTGCACCCACACCAGGACCTTCCTGGGTGGGGAGGGGCTTGGACCTGGGCACCCAGCTGGGCTGAGGGCAGAGAGCCCGGCGCCGGGGGGGCCCTGCCCTGGACACACACCCCCGCCCCCGTGCCCACAGCCTCCCAGGGGGCCACGCCTTGGTGAGGACCCTGGGCCAGTCCACGCCCCCCACCTGCCCAGGCCCCATGGTCCTGCCTCTGGGGGTGTCCAAGCTGGGCAGGCAGGGTGCCCGCCCAACCCGAGGCCCAGCCTGTAGCCATGTTCAGAGGAGGGGAGCAAGCGCCTCCCTTCCAGAGGCGACGATGGTCCACTGCAGTGATGGCGAACCTTCTGAGCTCGGCGTGCCAGCATTTTGAAAAACCCTAACCTAACTCTGGTGCCGTGTCACATAGAGAAATTTTTTGATCTTTGCAACCATAGTAAAACAAAGACTTATATTTTTGATATTTATTTTATATATTTAAATGCCATTTAACAAAGAAAAATCAACCAAAAAAATGAGTTCGCGTGTCACCTCTGACACGCGTGTCATAGGTTCGCCATCACTGGTCTACTGGATGGGACAGCCCGCCCCCCCACTGCCCGCCCCCCACTGCCGCCCCCCACTGCCTGCCCCCCCACTGCCCGCCTACCTGGGGGGGCCTCGGTCCCCGGCTCTGCCTCGGCTGCCCCGTTAGGCCTGCGGGGAGAAGAAGGGAGGCCCTGAGTGCACGTCCCAGGGCCCACGTGTGTGGCACCCCTCCCACGCACATGCACACGCACCCGGGGCCACAGTGCGGGGGGCCCTGGAAGGCCAGAGGGTACCCAGGTGGCTGTCCTGGCCTCCAGGCCCCCTTCTGCCTCAGGGTCAGCGTGTGCGGCCCCCCTGACCGGGCCCTGCCCCTGGAGGAGGGGCCACGAGGCTGGGGCCGCTCTCTGCCCTCGGCCTTGGCATCTCGCTGTCTGAACCCACACGTGGCACCAACAGCCGGAGCTGGAGGGACAAACCCACCCCCTCGCCAGCCGGCGCCGCCTCCAGGGCCGTCGAGGTGCCGAGGCCTCGCAGGGCGGAGCAGCGCCCTCAGAAAGCGCCCAGGCACGGAGTGACCGCAGTGACCGGAGGCGGCGGGCACGGGGCTCCGCGGGGGCCGAGCCGCTGGGCGGGGGCTGCCCTCCTGGGAATAGCGGTCACTGTCACCTGGTGAGGCGGGAGCGGGAAGGTGGGGATGGAGGCAGGAGGGGCAGCCCGGCCAGGCCCGTGTCCGTCGGAGGGTGGACAGAGCTGTCCGAGGTGGGCAGCTCCAGACCCGTCTCGGCATGTCCGTCCCGAGCAGAGGGCTCTGGGGCCAGGTTCGCCGTGCAGTGAGCGACGGGCCCCCCCGCCCACCCCAACACTGACCCCTGGGGGTCAGCTGCCTGCAGGACCGGCTGATGCACGTCCTTGGGGGACGAGGCCGCTGGTGCAGTGTGGGTGCCCCGAGTGGGCGCCCCGAGTCCTCTGGCCTCGGACGTGCTTCCTGGGTGGCGCAGAGGCCCCGGGCGTGACAGACTGGGCTCTGCCCTGAATTGTCCAACCCAAGGCCTTGGAGGCAGCCAGGAGGCCCCCTCCGTGGCCCCGTGTTTTGCCATCAGAGTGCGGGGAGCGGGGGCTCCCTGACGAGCTCGGGGACCAGCCAGGCCGACCCCTGGCCAAGCTGAGGTGCCACGTGCCTGGTTTGGGTGATAAAACTTAAAGACAAAGGTTTTAAAATTCCTTCATTTCGAGCGGGGGAGGGGGGAACGGGCGTTTCGGTCGTGGGGGGCGTGTGGGGGGGAGGCAGGTAAGTGTTTTAGCGCTAAGAATAGCCAGGGTCCACGGGCTGCGGTGTTAAGGGACCTGAACGGGTTGCGAGGAGCCGAGCGTTTTTTACAGAACCCCCAGGGCTGCGAGCAGACGGCGGGGGCCGGGGCGTAGGCCAGGGGCGCCAAGGGCTGAGGTTCCCGTGGACCCTGGGTGGCCGTGGGACCCACCCACGCCGATCGGGCACCGACTGTGTGCACAGCGCTGAGCGGAGCCTCCCGCTTCCTCCCTCCGGGGACCCTGCGCCCCCAGAGGCCCACGGGCGGGGGCGGGGAGCCTGGGAGTGGGCTCCGTCCAGGGCTGGCCCCCGACCTGCCTCTCCACCGTCAAGATTTCCTCTCGGGCCCGCCGGCTGGCTCAGTGGTCGAACCTCAGCCTCGGAACCAGGAGGTCACGGTTCGAGTCCGGTCAGGGCACAGGCCCGGGTTGTGGGCTCGATCCCCAGTGGGGGGCGTGCAGGAGGCAGCCGATCCATGATTCTCCCTCATCTCTGATGCTTCTATCTCCCTCTCCCTCTCCCTCTCTCTCTGAAATCAATAAAAATACATTAAAAAAAGAGTTTGATCCTTTGGGGCTTTGCCGTTAAGCTTTGCCCTGTGAGTTTGAGGGGGCTGGTTCTTCCCCAGGGAGGGCCTGGTGCTCCCAAACCCCGTGGCCACGCCCTCCCCTCCCCCGAGGCCCGGGAGGGTCCCATCGGAGCTGCCACCTCGAGCCCCGACGCTGCCCTTCCTGGTCAGGGGCCCGCAGGGCTGGCTGACGAGCGGCGAGCGGACCTGACCCTGAGCGGAGCCGTGGCCAAGGCGGTGACCACTGCAGCCTGGGTGGGACCCGCGGCCGCAGCCACGCTCCGTGGCCTGGCTCTGAGGGCCTCTCCGAGTGGCCGGGGCCGGGAAAACCCATGGTCAGAGCCGACACCGGCGACAACGGGTGGAAGCAGCGCCGAGTGGGCCGGCGCCCAGGCCCCGCACACCGGCTTCCTGGCTGGGGCCGCGGAGCAGAGTGAGGCTGGGGAGCGGGCGTTGGACCCCCTGGCCGAGCGCTCAGTGGGCGGCGGGAGGAAGGCGGCCCTGTCCTGAGGGATGCTTCCCGGTGAGCCAAGGCCTCCAGCAGCCCGTGTGGCCCAGGCCCGTCCACCCCAAGGCCCATCAAGACCCTCGGGGTGTGGGCCTGGCGGCCCCGGGGTCAGACAGGCGGCCGTGCTGCAGACCAGACGTAGAAACCCGGCCGGCCGCAGGGGGCAGGGGCACAGGCTCCAGTGGGTGTGGCCCCGAGGCCTGACCTGGGCGTGGGCCCCTGGGGCCTGGTCAGGGAGGCCCCGCACGGAGTCTGGGTCAGGCCCCGGTGCTGGGGCAGGTGCTTCTGCTCAGCCTGTGGCATCATGTGAGAGCCCAGCCCCAACTAGACACAAACTGGGGGGACAGTCCCCAAGGGCAGCGGCTGCAGGGGGCCAGGGCTCTCCCCACCTGCCCTGCCCACGAGGCCGCGAGGCCAGGCTCTGTGGGCTAACTGCTGGAGCCTGGCTGCCCTCGCTGGGGGCCACGCTGGACAGTGTCGTCGCCTCCCTGGGACCCCCAGCCCAGGGGCTCAGCCGGCCGTCGAGGGCCCTGTCCCTGGGGCAGCCGGAGGCCTCTCCTCACCCGGCTCCAGGAGGCCCGGGGGTTCCACGGCCACACGGCCCCTCCCAGTGAGCCCCCCGCCCCCCCGCACACACAAGAGGCTAATGAACCCCCAGCCTGGCCTGGGGCTGAGGGGTCGGCACCATTTAGGGGCCCCGTCCCCTGTGGGCAGTGGGCTCCAGGCCCAGGGAAGCCTGCAGGGTGTTCTCAGGTTTGGGGGTACCTGCCAAGGGGGGCCGTGAGCGTGGGACAGGGGAACAGCCCCAACCCCAGCCTCCCTCTGCGTGGTCCCCGTTCCAGCCCTGAGTCAGGCGGAGGCATCGCTGGCTGCAGGGGGGTGGGAGGGGGTTGAGGGTGGCCAGCTGCTCCCCCGCCCCCCTCACACCTGCTCTGCTCCCCACGGCTGCTCGGGCCGCACAGGCTCATCTCACGGCCTTTAACAGTTTTTAGAGTCAAGCACCCAGCCCACCCCTTCCTCTGGTTCCCTGGACGCCCACCCTGGGAGGGAGGCCGAGGCCGAGCCCACCCGCAGGTCCTGGCCGGGGAGGGACAGGGGACAGAAGCCCCGTGCCCTGGGGCCTGCAGCCTGGACGCCCTGTGACTGCCACCCCATGGCCTCTATGGGGCTGCTGGGCCCCCCATTTGCTAGGACACTGCCCGGCTCAGGGCCACCACAGCCAGGAGTCCCTGACCACTCCCTGTGACCGAGGCTTCTCCCGGCCGCGGGGCTGGCACCTGGGAGGGGACAGGCCGCCAACCGAGCACGTCCTCTGGGCCCGACGACCCGGTGGCTGCTGCCCAGAGCTCCTGGTCCCCGCGGGGCCGGCCAGGTGGGCCCACCCTGCCCCAGGCTGCTCTGCCCTCGGAGGCTGAGGGGATGGCGGGCGAGGAGCGGGGCGCTGGCCCAGCCACGGGGCGGGGCGGGGGGGGGGGGTGTGAAGGCCTGGGCTCCCTGTGATGCTCGGCCGCCCCGGACCTGAGCGGAGGGGGCGGGCTGTGAGCCCCAACCACCGGCCCCATAGAACTATGAACCGCACCCCCCCCCCCCCCCCCCCGTGTCGGCCTAAGGACTGAGTCAATGCCGGCTCCCCGAGTCCCGTTAAACCGCTTCCTCTGAGCGAGCAGGAGGGCCTGGGGGGGCGCCGGGATCTCTGCGGGGCCCTCAAGGCTGGACGGGTCCCTGGCCGTGGGCGGCGCTGGGCTGAGGGCTGCCGGGGCTCCCACACGTCCCCCAGCGCCCTTAGGGCCCCTGGGGGGAGAGGCCGGCCCAGGCCCAGGACCCCCGCGTGGCGGCCGCGCCGTGAAATCCAGTCCGGGCTTTGCCGCCGACACCACGCGGCCGCCTGTCATGTTGTGAAATTCCGTCAGGAGCCAGGAATTCTCCGCAGGAATGCCAGGCGGAGCGGGAACAGGCCGGCGGGAGCGGGGCGGGGCGGGGCGGGCGGCCCTGTGACGGGCAGGCTCACCTGGCCCGCGAGGCGGCAGCTCAGGGACCCACGTGGAGAGAGTGTGAGGCCACTGCGGGCGGCGGGAAAGCCGGTCCCGGGGCCTGGGCTGAGCGGCCCCCCCCACCCCCCCACCCCCCACCCCCCATCTCCCCCCCCCTACCCCCCCCCACCCCCCGCCAGCTCCGTCCGGCCACCCTCGGGCCTTTCCGTGTCCGTGGGGCGCGGTGGCGGCACTGACCGGCTGAGAGCGTGAGCCATGTGAGGCTGGCCCTGGCTTTGAGGGTCACCGGGCGGAGGAAGGGGGCTCCTGGCCCGGCTGAGGCCGCGCTGAGGGTGAGGGGGCCGTGGCCGGCCCAGCCCGGTCAGCTCGACACCCCCAGGACTCCAATGGCTGAGGGACTGCGCCGGCCTTGTCCACGCGTGTCTCCCCCGTGGGGTGTGGCCACCTGATCACTGCTTCACCCCCTCCCTGGCCTGGGCCGACCCGGGAGGCAGAGCGGCTCACGGTGGGCCATTGGTGCCAGCCTGCCGCCAGGAGCTCCCCGCCCTGTGCCCAGCCCCACGGCCATGTTGCCGCCGTGTCCCAGGGCCCCAGACACAGCGCGAGGAGCAGGGCCGGGCGGCTGGCTGGACAGGGCCTGGCCTTGCGGGCTCTGCCTCTGCCTGAGCCAGCTCAGGGGCGACCCAGGAGCCCCGTACCCCCCTCAGCAGCAGGTCAGGCCCAGCTGCCCCACGCCTTGCAGAAAGGTCTGCCCCGGGAACCGTGAGGGCGGGGAGGCCCCACAGCAGGTCCTCGGGGAGCGAATGAGGCGGCCAGTGTGGAGGGGGCGGGGTGGCGAGCACGTTCAGGCAGAAAGCGCTGGGGGCTCGGGGGTTGGGGGGGGCGGGAGCCCTGGGCCCCTCCCCCACCTGCCTGTGGCCCCTCATTCACAGCCCGAGCCGGGCGGCTGTGTGGGCTCAGCTGGGCATCAGGGGAATCGAGTACCTGCCCCCCCTCGGGCCCCTTCACCCCCTTCCTGTGGCTGAGCCCCGGCAAACGCCCTGCCCCCCGGGGGGACCCAGCCTCCGCTTCGCAAGGCAAGGGCTCCTTAATGCGAACCAGACGCGCGTCTGCGAGGCCGGCGGCGGGAAGGCGGGAAGGGTGGTTCCCACAATTCCAGGGGGTGGGCTTTTTGGGTCAAGAGCCAGGTGAGGGCGGAGGGAGCTGGTGCCCGGACCAGAGCAAGGCAGCTGGGGGGGGGCACCCGCGGAGAGCAGGTGGAGGCCCTGGGGCAGGCCCCCCCGCTCGCCCTGGTGGGGCTGGGTGGGGGCTCGGGCACAGAGCTGGGTCCCTGGCGGAGGCCGGAGGCCCAGGCTCCCCAGCAGGCGTCGGGCAGGGGGGGCGGGCGGGCGGGGGTGAAGGAGGCCAAGGGCCCCTGAGGCCCGGGAGGCGGACTCGGGCTCTGATGGGGGGAGGCGCACGGGTTGGTGCTCCCCTGTGTCCGGCCCAGCCCGCGGTGCCCGCAGGGGCTCCTGAGGAAAGCGCCCGGCCACTTGCTGCCCCCCTGCCCGCACGTCGCCGCGGGGGCCACCCTGCTGCCGCCCCCGCTCCAGGTCACGTCCCCTCGTCCCCTCCGTGCTAGGAAGGGCCCGGGCTCCCCTGGAAGCAGCAAGCCCAGGCGGGCCCCCATTGTTCAGGCCACAGAAGCCTTTGCCACTGCAGGGCCGGCTGATGCCTGTGGTGTCTGCGGGGCTGAAGGCGGGGGAAACCGAGGCAGGTGTGTGGGGAAGGGCGCCCTGCCCCCACCTGAGACTGTGCACACCTGGGAGGCCGGCTGACGGCCTGAGGGTGGGCCCCTCCTACCTGCTGCCTCCCGGGGGGTCCTGCGTGGTGGGCGTCCCTGTCCCGGGGCTCAGGCCACCTCCGGGCCTGCCGCTGGCGTCCTGCGGGGAGCAGGGGGGAGGCTCAGGGGCCCCCACGCACTGGCTGCAGCGTGGGCAGCGTGCGGACTGGTCGTGGGGGTCTCCCTGCCCCTACCTGGTGCGGGCCGTCCAGGAACGGGACGGGGTGGTACCCGGGCGGAGGCGGCCCCAGGCGGACGTCCTCGAACTGGGCGCAGCCTCGCTCCGCTCGCCGACAGCCCTCAGGACAGCAGGACCCGCGTCGCCCGGCTGAGGAGAGAGAGGTCCCCGGGAAGATGGCTTCGGGCCCCTGAGCGCACAGAGCGCCGCCAGCGAGCCCTTCCCGCGGCCCAGGTGGGGCGGGCGGGCTGGGAGGGCTCCCGCCACAGCAGCCACGACCGGCCGCGCCCGCCCCGAGCGCCCGTGACCAGGACACGCGGACACGCCCGCGTCGGGGCTGCAGAGGTGGAGCCTCAGGCACACCCAGGGCCCGGGAAGCCCGGAAACCCTCCGGGTCTGGGCCGGGCCTGTGTGTCCTGCAGGGGGTGCCCCACCGCGGCCCTGCCCTCCCGGGGCCCCAGGTGTGAGGGTGAAGGCCCCCCTGGCAGGAGCTGCGAGTCAGCCGCCCTCCCTCCGCTCTTTCCACAGAGACTGCGACGTTAGGTTGGTGCAGGGCCCCCAGACGCAACACCCACACGCCGGGACCCCAGCCTGTCCCTTGGGGACGTCCCTGCCCTACTCACACGCCTGCAGAGGGGGCTGGACCCCAAGGGGTGGCTGGAGCTAGTGGGGCGGACGGGGCGCACGGCTACAGAGGCTGCAGGGGGCTCGGCGAGGGGACGGCCTCGTCATTGTGCCCTGGACGGGGCCCTGGGCCGAGGCCTGAACGCCCCCCCCCCCCCGCCCCCTGGAGCCCGTCTGGGGGAGCGAGGCCGCGGGCCCAGACGTGTTTCCAAGTTGCAGGTGGGGGAGTCTGACCCCCCTCCTTCTGCAAGGACCTCGCTCACCACCACCTGCCGCCAGCGTTTGCCGGGCTGCCTTGTTTGCGCCCTGGGCAATGGCAGGGACCGCGCTGCCGCGACGACAAGGACCCCAGCTCTGCGCCCTCTGCCCAGGCGACTGCCCGGAGGGCTGCACGGCGAGCACCGAGGCCACCAGCTCCTCCGCTCGCAGCCCCAGACCCAAGGTGTCGCCCGCCGTCTCCCGGGGGTCAGGGGGCACAAAGGACGTCGGGTCTGCCAATCACCGGCCACAGGCCAGCCGTAGCCCCGCCCCCCTCGGCCCCTGGACACGCGTGTGCACCCACCGCCCCTCGGCACCCACTCTGCACACACGCGCTGAGACGCCCACACGGACCTGCACCCCTGGCCACCAGCTGCGTCCAATCGTCCGGCCACCAGCTGCGTCCAATCGTCCGTCCACCAGGCGCCCCCCCCCCCCTTCCCGTATCGGAGGCACAGCCCCTCCCCGTCGCCTGCGCCCCTCCCGGCCCCAGCACCTCCGCCTGCCGCTGCGCTGCCCCCACCCTGGCCTCTCCTCGGCCCCACTTTGGGGTGCAGCCAACGGCCCCGCCTCTCACCCCCTTTGCGCTGTGCCTCCACCCCTCACACTGCAGCGTGGAGTCCAGCCCCCCCTCCCACCCGCCCCCTAGGCAGGCCTCCAGCATGGCCACACCCTCGAGCCCCACCCGCCTCCCTCACACCCTGGGTCACCCTGGGCCCCTCGGCCTCTACACACCCTACCTGGGGCCCCCCTCACCCCTAAACCCCTGAAACGAAAAGGCTGAGGGCTGCTGGCAGGTCCCACGAAAGGGCGGGCGGCTGAGTTCTGGTCAGACACAGCGGCAGCCCTGGCCGGTGTGGCTCTGCGGATAGAGCGTCGGCCTGCGGGCTGAAGGGTCCCGAGTTCGGTTCCCGTCAAGGGCACAGGCCCGGGTTGTGGGCTCGAGCCCCAGTGGGGGGCGTGCGGGAAGCAGCGGGTCCATGATTCCCTCTCATCGTTGATGTTTCTCTCTCCCTCTCCCTTCCTCTCTGAGATCAACAAAAATCTATGAAAAAATAAAATGAAGACGCCACAGGCACAGGTGCCGGCCACTGCGGCCCCGGGCCCTGAGCACCCAGAGGAGGGAGGGTCCCACGCTCGCCTCCGCTCAGGGGGGACCCGCCTCAGCCGCGGGGCCTGAGCCGCTCCTGCGCACCCCGAGCCGGGCCTGTGGGCAGAGGCCCCTCCGGCTGGGAGCCGCCGGACGGTGGGTGGCAGTTACGGCAGCGACGGCGTCGTCAGCAGGACCGGCCACCATGCAGCCCCTGGAGGGACGCGGGCGGCGTGACCTCTCCCAGGAAAACGTCCATTAATTACCGTTTTACAGCGACTCCATTAGGTCCCTAATCGCCTGTGTAGGACGCGGAGGCGACAGGGGAGAAGCTGCCGGAGAAACGGCTCCAGGGGCGGCCGGGCCCTTGCCAGGCGGGAGCCGCACAGGCCTGATGTTTCCCCATTTAAGTGACAAAAAAACGTGACTGGCCCTCGGGGGACGGGCAGGACTCCTCGGAGGTGAGACGGATGCCAGGGCCAGGGCCTCGCTCCTGGGACGCCTCCGCCGGTCCGGGCGCTGAGGGCCTGTCCAGCTGATGCCCACCCGCCCGCGGCCCCCGCAGGTGTGGCCAGGCTGCGGGACACGGGAGGGCACGTCCGCAGACGCCAGGCTCCCGGCACCTTGAGGGGCATCCCGCACGCCCCTCCCTAGAGGTGTCTGACCCGGTGAGTGCGCAGTGGCCTCTGAAAGGCTGGTCCCGTGGGCGCAGGGTCACGCCGCCCGCCCCCCTCGCCTCTCTCCCCGGATCCTGGAACTTCTCCACCCGGCGGTCCCCAAGGAGCTGCTGGGAGGGCTGCCTGCGTGTGGGGCACCGGCTCCTGCCCTCTGTCGGCGCCCACGTGGCCACAGGACACAGGGAGGCAGGTGCTTTGGGTCCCAGACCCGGCCCGGGCGGCAGGAAGGAGGAGACCACGGGTGTCCATCGGACCCCAGGCTAGACAGGTCAGATGGAGCACCCGGCAGCTGCCCCCCAACACTTCCACCCCCCCCCCACCACCGCCCCGCTGACCAGCTCCTCCTCCTCCTTCCTGGAGCCCCCAGAATGCAGGGCAGCTGCGGGGACAGGAGCCCGTGTCCGGGACAGTGGGAGGTGTGGTGGGTCCCCGGCCTGAGCTGTGGTCTCGGGACCCACCCACTGGGGCCTGGCTCCAGGCAGACGCACCCGACACCCCAAGGTTGAGTTCATCCCGTGCTGGCCCTGGGGGCCGAGCGGCATCTGTTCGCCCTTTTCTGGCCCGTCCCTCTGTGGGCCGACCCTGGACAGGACACCAGGGCGCAGGTTTTCCGAGCGGACGCGGATCCGGAGGCTGCGCTGCCGTAATTAACTAGACAATTAGTGTTCAACGTGCTGTCGCCCCAGGAGGCCACGAGACGTCCACAGGTTCCCCCGGCACAGCGTCAGCTTTATCGGCCGGATCGGCTCAGCGGCAAAGGGCACCTTCATTTCCTAAGTCACCTTACGGCTGCGGGCGCTTCTCAGATCCCATCGGAGGGACTGCAGAGCCATTTGTTCAACAAAAGAAAAGGAGAAACTGCTGGACCAGGACCAGCTGGAGACATTTCCCGGGAGGGTTTTGTGGAAAAAAAAAAAAAAAAAGCCCGGCCCGTGTTGCTCAGTGGTGAGCGTCGACCTAGGAACCAGGAGGTCAGGGTTTGATTCCCGGGGGCACAGCCCGGTTGTGGGCTCCGTCCCCGGTGTGGGGTGCAGGAGGCAGCCGGTCCATGACGCTCTCATCATGGATGTCCCTCTGTCTGTCTCCCTTCCTCTCTGACATCAACGAAAATGTATTTAAAAAGCAGCAGCAGCAGCAGACGAGAAGCAATCTGAGTTCTGCGCCCGCTGCAGCGTTTTAGGTTCCCAGATCCAATATTCGGGGATTGTGGGAACTGCGGGGCCCAGCCAGCCCGACCAGGTGTGTCCCCCATCGCCCCGGCAACGGCCAGCACGGGCATCGGGGTTCAATGGGCCTACATGACGGGGTCTCGGCAGACACCCCACTGGCAGCAAGGAGCACACGCGGTCCCGTTACAGCTGTGGGCGGGAACTACACCAGGTGAAGGGACTAAACGCAAAGCCATTTTGAATAGAAATCCGGGCGCTTTGTTCCCAGAATCTGGGTCTGGAACGAGACCCCGGGCGGCGGAGAATACGGACCCGGCGACCGTCCAGCTGTCTCACAGAAACAGAGGTGCGCCCCCTCAGCCCCCGGCGCTTCCCCACGGCCAGGCGGCACCACTGGCAGAGCCTGCAGGGTGCTGGCACCCCAGGGCAGCCCCAGGGGCGGGCAGGGCCAGCAACAAGCAGCACGCCCACCCCACGCCTCAGGCCTAGGGCCTGGTCTCCATCAACCGTGTTAGACGGACACCCTCGGGGGAAGTGGGCCTGGGGCGGGCTCCCACGCAGGGGCCACCGTGTCCAGTCCAGGCTGCCCTCAGGCCTCCTCCAGGCCCGGTCCCCTCCCGACAGCGCCGGCAGCAGCCCGACATGTCAGCCCAGGTGCACCCACTGCAGGTCCCGCACCCGCGATGCCCGATCTGCCGGATGGCGCTGCAGCCTGGGACGGCTCACCCCGCACCATGGGCATCGGGCCTGCAGGCTAAGGGCCCGGGCCAAGGTGCCTGAGCGCCCAGGGCGGGCAGCCCCAGCCTGGCGTCTCACCCACGGCACGGCCACTGGGCACCATCTCCCTGGACGTCCTGCCCCCCAGCCCCACTGTGCCAGGTTCGAGGGCACCTGCTGTCCCCCCCGCGCTGCCCACCACGGGCCGTGTTGGCTGCACTCACCAGGCAGGCCGCCGGGGGCGTCTCCCTGGCCACATGAGGCGTCCGGGGTCCGTGCCACCTCCGGGTCTCCCGTGGGGAGTGACGCGTTGGCCGCTCCGGGCTCCAGGCCCGACAGCGGGTAGGGGATGCACTGGAACCCACTGCGAAGGGGAGGCAGCTGGGCTCCATGTGGCGCCAGCTGGGGGGACACCTGGCTGTGGGAACACAGGGCCCAGGGGCACCCCAGGGAGGAGAAAGGGCCCGGCTGCCCTCTGAGAGCAGGTGGTGGAGGGGGCGGGGGGGCGGGGTCTCGCTCTGGGACCACCCGAGACCCCGCAGCTCACAGCCCCGCCTCCCGCCCGCCCGCCTGCCGTGCCCACCGCGAGTCCGAGCGCCTTGGCCTCCCCGCCCTCGACTGAGCGTGTCTGCTGGTCGCTGCGTGTCCCCGGGGCTGGGCGGGAGCAGGGGGGGCCCGGGGGAGCACTTCCAGTCATTCCCCCCCGAGGCTGAGGGGGACCCCCCGCCCCGCGTGGTGCTGCCCACGTACGTCACCCTCACTCACAAGGGGGTCTGGATGGGCGCCTCCCGCCGGCCCGCGTCCACGGTGAAGAAGCTAACCTCTGAGAAGGCCGGCAGCTGCACGTACCTGACGCCCGCAGTGATCCTCAGGGCCCGGCCGTCCTCGCCTGTGGGGGCGGGGGGGCGTGCTGTGCCCAGGAGCAGGGGACCAGTCGGGGCCTGGGCTCCTCCCTGTGGGCTCGGGCGGTGGGCGCCGGGAGGGGCGTTCATACTCAGCCACGGCCACAGCCACGGCCACGGCCCACCGGAGCTCCCCGCTCACCTCCCGTCTCGCTCCTCCCGGCCCTCGGCTCCGCCGTCCACACGGTCCCTGACCGAGCCCGGTCCTGGCCCCCGGCCCCTCACTGTGCCTCCAGCCCGGGCCTCTGGGAGGACGTCTCCCTGCTGGCCACGCACGGTGGGAGCAGACACGTGGACGCCCAGGGGACACTGCCCCTCACGACCCATCTCCCACCCTGACCCCGGGCCCGGCCCGCCCCACCCGCCCACACCCCCGAGACACCCACACAGGCCGGCCCTGTGGACTCGGGCTCAGAGTCGGGGGAGCAGGAGAGTCGATGGCCACCACTGACCACCGCCAGGGGGCCTGACGCCCAGCCTCCCATGATGCCAAGATCCGGCAGAGATGCCGCCGGCCAACACAGGGAGGACCCTGACTTGGAAAGAACCGGAGCCGAGTGGAGGGGAAACGGATGGTGGTCTGACCGCCTTCCGCCTCGGGTCACGACAGAGTCACCATCCCGCTCGCCCCCCCTGCGGGCAGCCAGGAAGGCAGGTGCAGGTCAGTGAGACGGGGTCCGAGGTCCCGGGCGCCAGGCAAGGACATGGTCCCTGAAGACGGGGGCAAACTGTGTGCCCACGTGGCCTGGTCGCTGTCTCGGGGGACGTGGGCGCTGAGGGCCCCTGGGCAGGGAACTCCCTCCGGGAAGGACACAGTGAAAACGAAAGTGAATTCCGGACGTTTCCCGGGAGAGGAAAGCTGGAAGGATTCATCGCCAGGAAACCCGTGTGACGAGAAACGGTGACCTGGGTCCTCCGGGCAGGAGGCAAGGGCGCCGGGCGGGAACCGGGAGGAATGAGCAGAACCAGGAAGGGACCTGGTGGCTGAAGAGAGGGAGTCCTCTTCCTGCTTGTGAGACTCTGAAGGTAAATGAATCGCAGCAAAGCCTCGCGAAGTGTGTGGATGCGTGAGTGTAACTGTGATCGTGTACAGACGAGGGTAGAGAGAAAGCAGGGGGCGGCGTGGTTCCCGGACACGCAGAGTGTGGTGTGGCCTGGAAGTGGCCTGAACGTTAACAATGTGCATCGCCAACCTCAAGCCCCTAAAATAAGGAAACAGAGTGACAAATACTAAGCCAGCGACGGAGGAGATACACTGGGTCAATAAAAAAAAATCCAGTCCAAGAAAACAGGAATAAGGTGTAAAGGAGGGAAAGACAGCTGAGGAAATGGAAAATGAATAGTGAAATGGTAAGTCCCCATCTGTTATGTCAAAATTATATTCAATACGAACGGTATACACACACCAGTTAAAAGGCAGAGATGGTCCGATTGGACACAAAAGCAGGACCCAACTGCACGCTGCCTACAGAGACCGCCCTTTAACGTAAAGACCCAAACAGGTCCCAGCTCAAGGCAGAGACGGTAACACCAGTCAAGGGAAAGCCCCTTGACATCACGGGGAGTGGACGGCAGAGCGAAGGCCACCACGGGGGTGAAAGGAAGGTGATGTCACGATGATAAGGAGTCAATTCATTCAATGGCACAAAACCCCAAATGTTTGTCCTCCTATTAACAGAGCATCAAAATAAGGAAGCAAAAGTTGACAGAAATAGACACATCCACAATTATAATCAGAGATTTCAATACACCACCCTCCACCAGGGATAGAACAGGCAGACGGAAAGTCAGCAAGGATGTGGCAAACTTGAGCAACAAAATCAACAAAGTACGCCGGGTTGACTTTTATAGAACACTAGAGGCCCGGTGCATGAAAATTTGTGCACTGGGTGGGGGGGGGAGTGTCCCGGCCTGCCCCCTCTCACAGTCCGGGAGCCCTCAGGGGACGTCCTACTGATGGCTTAGGCCCGCCTCTGCGGGAGGCGACCTTCTGATCAGGGGAAGGCGCCACCCCCATCACGCTTCTGCTGCTGCCACTGCCGGCCGTGAGGCTGCCTGGGCCTCGGGCCGGCCCTGGGCAGCAGCAGCTGCCATCCGCTCCCCCGATGCACCTCCTGGTCAAGTCCCCGCCCACCCACGCGCGCCTGCTGTACACGCAGGCCCCTGGTGATCAGTCGTTGCGGCGAGAAGGCGTCACGGTGTGAGGGCGTGACGACCACATAGGCTTTTATTAGTATAGATTCCAAACGAAAGAGCAGAATCCAAACTCTTCCCAATGTGCTCACAAAACATGTCCCAAAACAGACCATATTTTGGGCCATAAAACAAGTCTTGATAAAGTGAAAAGGATTCAGGGTATACAAAATACGACCCTCACCACATGGAGGGAAATTAGAAATTATTAACAGAACGCTCTCTGGAAAATCTCCAAATATTTGGAAATGAAACAACACCCTTCTAACTTACTCATGGTCCAATGAGAAATCAGAAAATATCTTGAATTGAATGAAAATGGAAGCACGACATAGGAAATCTGTGGGATGCAGCTAAAGCCGTGCCCAGAGGGAAATTCATAGCAATAAACTCCTATACTAGAAAAGGAGTTTCTAGTCTGAAATAACCTTAGTTCCCACCTTAAGAACTAGAGAAAGGACATTAAATTAAACCCAAAGTAAGGAGAGCAAGGAATAAGACTAAAGTAGGAACTAATAAAATAGACAACAGAAAGCAAAGGGTTGGTTGTTCATCAATGAAATTGATAACCTCCAGCCCAAGGAGTCAGGAAGAGAAGAAAAAAGACACACTGATCCACAGTGGGAACCAGCGGCGCCACTACTGCATTCAGGGGAGAAGGGGCACGAATGGGCTTGGGCGAGAAGGCTGGCAACGTCGACGCAACGGACAGCTGCTCAAGAAGAAAGATGGCCGAAGGGGCCTGTGCGTTGCGGGTGACGTTCGATGCCACTCACACCCTCAGGATGGCGCCTGTGGACACCACCGTGCGGCCGGGGTGGAGCCAGCCCTCAGGCTGTGTCGGTGGCACCGGCCTCTCGGGAAAACACTCTGGCGGTTTCTTGAAAGTTCAGGCACAGACGTCCCGTGCGCTCCAGCGATCCTGCCCATGGGTACATCATCGGAAACACACGCTCACACGAAAGCTGGCCAGGAGCACTCACAGCAGCCGAACGGTGCGAACACGCCAGCCGTCCCTGGGCAGGCGACAGGCGTGGTGTGCGGACGCCACGGAAGACCACTGGGCAGGAGAGGAGGAGGCCCACACGCGTGGCAACGCGGCGACCCCGGCAGCTCGGTGTGAGTGGACACAGCTGGGCCGAGACGCACCCCACAGGTCACACAGGAAATGCCCAGAGGAGGCAAATCCACAGAGCGGGGCGGGGTGGGGGTGGGGGGCTCGGGCTGCGTGGGGCTGAGGGTGTGGATGGGCTGCACGCGGTGGAGGGGCCTTTCTGGGTGAAGGGAAGGGTCTAGGTCGGCACTGTGGTGTGGTGACGGTCGTCCGACTGCAAATTTACTAAAATTTACTAACAACCTTGGCGTCGTTGATGCAGATGAATTCGATGGAATGTAACTGATGCCACAATAAAGTTGTTAGTAAGCCAACTGTGACCAAATACATTTGGTGCCTGCTACACCTCGGGGCGTCCTGAAGAATGCCTGTTGAGCTTGGCCCGTGTGGCTCAGTGGCTGAGCATCGACCAATGAACCAGGAGGTCAGGGTTCGATTCCCGGTCAGGGCACAGGCCCAGGTTGTGGGCTCGATCCCCAGTGTGGGGTGTGCAGGAGGCAGCTGACCAATGATTCTCTCTCATCACTGATGCTTCTCTCTCTCCCTTCCTCTCTGGAATCAATCTATACATATAAAAGCTTAAGCGGCCATCCGACCATCCGGCCGGTCGCTATGACGCACACTGACCACCAGGGGGCAGATGCTCAACGCAGGAGCTGCTGAGCTGCAGTGACTTGGCGGCTGTGGTTCTCGGGTGACGCACCCGGAGCCAGAGAGGAGGGAGCCCGATTCTGGGGTGTGTCACCTGAGAACCACCATCTCGCACTCCGGGACCCCTCGGGGGATGTCGGAGAGTCAGTTTCAGACCAATCCCCGCAGGCCAGGCCGAGGGACCCCACCTGCCGGAGGGACCCCGCTCACTCTGCAGACGCCCTTCGAGCCGTGGTGCCGCCCCAGCGGAGGGACTGTGGGAGGTTGGCTCCAGGGCGTGTCCGGCCCATCTCACCCAGTCCCACCCCACCAGCCACCTTCTAATTAATTTCCTTTCAATGTGCACGAATCCGTGCACCGGGCCTCCAGTAAAAACATGTTTAAAAAAAAGCTTGCTGAGCTAAGGCGAGTGTGACATCAGGAATCCTGTGAGGTTATTAACGGGTCCTGCCCCCCCCCTTGCGGTGTCTCAGGTGGCTGGGGGGTGGGGGGGCCTCTGTGGGAAGCCGGCCTGTCCCTCCCCGGCCTCACCACTGGGCTGACCGTCCCGGGAAGAGCAGCAGGACGGGGGGAAGTGGCCTGATTCCCTCCCAGGCTGAGGCCTTCCTCCCCTCCTGGCTGGACCAGCCTACACAGATGCACCTGGTGCTGCACCATCACCATCCCCTCGCTCTGTGAGTGCGTGACCACCGCACACGGGCATGCACAGCACACATGCTCACTTGAGCTCACACACATGCCCACACATGTTTGCACACATGCTCACACACGAGCTCACACACATGCACACATGAGCTCACACACATGCTCACACGAGCTCACACAAATGCACACACGAGCTCACACACATACACACACGAGCTCACACAAATGCACACATGAGCTCACACACATGCTCACATGAGCTCACACAAATGCACACACGAGGTCACACACATATACACACGAGCTCACACACATACACACACAGGCTCACACGAGCTCACACATATGCACGCATGAGCTCACACACATACACACACATACACACACATACACACATGCTCTCTCTCACACACACACATGAGCTCACACACATACACACATGCACACACACATACACACACGAATACACACAAGCTCACATGAGCTCACACATGCTCACACACATGCACACTCACACACACACATGCGCACACGCGACTTCTTGCTTACTGGTGGCCACTGCCCCGTTGTCCTGCAGCAGCTGCACGCGCACCGTGAAGGAGGCACCCCGGGCCACGTCCATCACCTCCGGGCCCAGAATCACGGTCCTCGCGGCTCGCCCTGGGAGAGCAGAGGCGTGTCCTGGGTGCCGGTCCACCTGCCCGCGGCGCCCGAGGCGAGAGCCCCAGGTGTGGGCCGCCCCGCAGGCCCTCTCCCCTAGGGGTGCGAGCCTGTTGGCACCCGAGGGGCTCCGCCTGCCGGCCACACGCAGGTGCAGAGGCTGAAGCCCCCGACTGGCTGCGGGGGGCGGGAGGAGGGGTGTGGACGAGGTGTCCCTAAGGCAGCGTCCTGAGACGTTTGGTGTTTGTTTGTGTGTCTTCTCGGCTGGGATTCTTTGAAGCAGCTCATTCAGAACCACCGGCTTCTACCAAATGGGCCGCAGGGTGTGGCCAAGTGCTGGGGGGGAGCGGCCGCAGGGTCGGGGCGCACACGCTGGACCGGCCCCACGTCCCCCTCCTGCCTGGACCCCTGTGTCTGAGGGCGGCTTGGTGGGCGGGTCCCCTGCACGAGGACCCTCTGGGGTCTGCCCCCCAAGAGTGACGGCCTCGCACACAGCCCAACGGGGCCTGGGGCTTCGGGCCGGGACCAGGCGGAGCAGGGCTGGGAGCTCATGGCGCTCCGTCACGGCGCCGGGAGGGTCGAGGGCAGGGCCCGGGGCGGCGGGCCTTCCGGGTGTGCCCAGCAGGGGAACTAACCCAGAGCCCACTTGGCGGGGGAGTCGGGGGGCCACCAGCCCGGGACCCCGTCGGGGAGGTGAGGCTGCGTCACACCCAGGGGTTCGGACAGGACCCCGAATTTGGGGGCGGGGGCCCGGGATTCCTTCCTGAGGTGACCTGACTAAGGAGCCTGAGGGGCCCCCGCAGGGCCAGGCTCCGCTGGGAGGCTCCACTGAGGGGGGCGCCTGGGCTCGGCCCCCAGGCCTGCACCCCAGGGTCCGCCCTCCCCCAGGCCCCGCACGCCCTTTGCCAGGACCTAGGCCCCGGCCAAGGAGCCTGACCGGCTCAGCGGTGCCCCTGTGGCTGGTTCAGCGTTACTGGTGCCCCTGTGGCCTCTCCCCGCCAGGAGCCCAGGGCCCCCGAGGGGTGGGGGCCACCCTTGCCCTGTTGGGGCCACTTTAGTGTTCGGGGGGCAACATGGGGAGGAGGCAGCCCCCAGAGGAGGCCCCTGCAGGCCACTGGCCACCTGTGCTCATGTCACATGCGGAGCTCAGGTGGGACCGGACGGAGGCCGTGGGTGCAGATGCTCAGGGCCCGTGGGTGGGGGCCCCAGGATCGGGAGAGCCCGGGGGACACCTACCCACCGGGTGGCCGTTGATCCACATGCCCCTGTAGACGAGCCCGGAGCAGTGGGCCATGCTGCCCAGGCCGCTGCGGACGCCGCTGTGCCACTGTCCCTGCGGGAGCGGCCGGGGAGAGGGCAGCCGCTGTCAGGGGGGCACCCCTCGGGCGGCCGCAGAGGACGCCTGTTCCCGTCATGTCGGACCCTGCGCGCTGCGGGCAAGACCGTCACCGGGGCCCGTGGGACCATGGGCTCCACGACCCCACCACACACGTGCTCCTCCCTCCCGCGAGGGCCTGCGGGACCCGGGAATGCAGCCTGAGCCGCGCCCCAGGACACGGCAGACACCCCTCCTCACTCCCGACAGGGCTGCAGCCCGGGTCCCCAGGCCACGCCCGCCCTGGCATCAACTTGGAGCCGCGGCGTGGGCAGAGCTGGGCTGCCCCCTGGTGGCGAGCGGATGAGCAGCGGGCACCCCGCGAGCCTGGCGTTTGCAGGAGCCTGTCCCACCTCCCGGCCTCTGGGCTGAGCCAGTTTCCAGGGGACAGGGGAGAGGGGCGCGGGCCTGGTGCGAGGAGCAGACGGTCCCCCTGCCCTGCAGGGCCACCTGGAACTTCTCATTCAAACGCTTCCCGGGCGCCCTGCCCAGAGAAGCAGAACCGGCACCTCAGCGCCCCGGAGAGCGGAGGGTTGCGGGTTCGGGAGCCGGACGGGATGCAGGGCCGTGAGCCCCCCAAGCCTCGGTTTGGTGGCCAGTAAAGAGGGGACAGTGCCCCCCCAGGTGAGCTGCGCCCCGAGGAGGCCTGTACCTCGTAGGTGGAGCCGTCCGCACAGCGCAGCACCCCGTGGCCCTGCCGCTGGTCCCGCACCCAGTCGCCGTCGTACTCGTCACCGTTCCTGCGGGACCCAGAGGCCGGGCTCAGGCTGGGACAGGGGGCGCCTGACTCAGGCCAGCTCCTCCGACCGACTGGCCGGCTGGGCACGCGCCACGGGCACCGCCATCGCCGACAGGTGGCCCGGCGCCAGGGCAGGAGGCTGGGCGCTCAGGAGGTGCGGAGACAGCCCCGGTCCTGAGAACACATGCCCCCCCCCAGGTGTGGGACTCAGCCCCCCCAGGTGTAGGACTCAGCCCCCAGGTATAGAACTCAGCCCCCCCAGGTGTAGGACTCGGCCCCCAGGTATAGAACTCAGCCCCCCCAGGTGTAGGACTCAGCCCCCAGGTATAGAACTCAGCCCCCCCAGGTGTAGGACTCGGCCCCCAGGTATAGAACTCAGCCCCCCCAGGTGTAGGACTCAGCCCCCAGGTATAGAACTCAGCCCCCCCAGGTGTAGGACTCAGCCCCTGGGGGTGCGGGGCTTGGAGGGGACACAACAGGGAAGAAAAGGGGGAGGTGAACCCACAAATCCCAGCAGCAGGATTTCGGATGAGAAACTGGCCCAGGAGGTTAGGAGGCGACGTCCAGCCGGCGGCCGAGGAGACAGGCCTCTGTGGGCCGCATGCCCCTCCCGCCCCCGAGGGTTCCACGGGGCTCAGAGCCCGAACCACGTGCACGGCCAGTCAGTGACCGAGGGGAGTGCAGGCCCCCACACTCCGAGGGCCCCGGGCCACGTACTCACGGGAAGGCCATGTGCCCCCGGCCGTGTCGCTTGTTGTTGTGAAAGGACCCGCAGTACACGCGCCCGTCCTGGTCCACCAGACGCCCGTGTCCTGCGGAGGAGCCAGAGCCCAGCTGCAGGCCGCCCGCCGGGCAGGACGGCGGTGACTTCAGGACAAGGCGGGGCCCACAGGGGACCCAGGAGCACGGGACCCAGGAGCCGCCGTCCAGGGGCTGGGGGGTGACCTGGGGCGGCGCTGGCAGCCGCCAGTGCAAGTGGCTCTGGGTGCAGCTCTCCGAGGCCCTGAGGGCGGGCACACGGAGGCCGGTGCACCTGCTGTGTGCGCGCGGGGGTGGGGGGGCGATGCTACGCGCCCCAGACCTGTTTGTGGGGCGTGTGTGCGTGTGTGTACGTGTGTGTGTACCGGAACCTGCGTGTGACTGGCGAGGCCTGAGTGGCCCATTCTCGGGGCCTCTGTCTAGATCCAGTTTCCGGTTTGGACAGTCGGGGTGCGAGGCCATTCCTACCGCTTTCATTTACTTATTGAAAGTTTATTTTTGTTGATTTCAGAGAGGAAGGGAGAGGGAGAGAGAGAGAGAAACATCAATGACGGGAGAGTCATGGGTCGGCTGGCCCCCTCCAGGGGATGGAGCCTGCAACCCGGGCCTGACCAGGAATCGAACCGTGGCCTCCTGGTCATGGGCCGATGCTCAGCCCCTGAGCCCCGCCCGCCGGGCCCACTCCTACTTCTCACACGAGCAACACCCAGAGGACGTTCCTGCCCGCCTCGGGCGGCTGGGCTTCGGGAACCCTGAGCCTCGGCCTCCGGGCCGTGCCCACCACCCACCGGCCGGCCTGGGGCAGGTGAGGAGGCCGTGCCCGCGCTGAGGCCTCCGCGGTGCTTGCGCTTCTGGCCCCGGAGCCGCGAGGCTGCAGCGAGGCCAGACCCGCAGGCTGAGCCCAGGCCGACCTCGGACCCGGGATTGCAAGCAATAATAAACTGGGGTTGTTCCAGCCACTGGGTTTTGTCTTGTGTGTGAATCCTCACCTGAGAATATTTCCCCATTGATTTTTAGAGAGGGTGGGGGGGGGACAGAGAGAGAAACATTGATGTGGGAGACACGTGGGCTGGTTGCCTCCCACATACGCCCCGACCAGAGCCGGGGATTGAGCCTGCCACCCGGGTATGTGCCCTTGACCGGAATTAAACCCGGGACCCCTCAGTCCTCAGGCCAATGCTCTATCCACTGAGCCAAACTGGCCAGGGCTGTGCCACTAGGTTTTGGGGGGGCTTGTCACAAGCGGTGGTTGGCGTCACAGGCACAACCCCCCTCCCCCCCACACTGCGCCAACCTCGCCTCCTTCCCACCCCACAGGCACGCGGGGGCCGGGCTCTGGACCTGAAGGGACACCAGCCCCTGGTGAGGTGCAGGGCCCTGGGCCCACCCACCCCACGGAGTCCGAGTGTTGGGCAGGGGGCGGGGCTCGGCCACCATTCCCGGGCCCCGGGGGCGCCAGACCTTCTCTCATGCCGTGGCACAGCTCCCCCTCGTAGCGGCCCCCTGCCTTGTACTCCATGACGCCGTGGCCTTGGGGCTCTCCAAAGACAAACTGACCAGAATAGGTGTTCCCTGGGGGGACGAGGAGGGGGCGCGAGGTCAGGGTCGGCGCCGGTTCCGTGTCGCCCGCCGTCCCCTGAGCGGTGGCGGCAGCAGGGCCGTTTCAGGGCGGACCCTGGTTTACGAGGGGACACAGGACCCGGCGGATCCGGACCTGCCCTCTTGGTTCCTGCCAAGCCCACCCCGGGGCCCTCGGTGGGCAGCGGTGTCCCAGATCCGAGGGCTGAGCCTTCTCGCACTGGGAACTGACCCCCAGGCTTGCCCGTGAGGATCTGGGGGTCTGAGGGTCGGGAGGCAGCCCCTGGCCACGCTGTGGGCAGCACCCCAGCACCCCACCCCCGGCTGGCACGGGCTGTGACCCCTCAGGGGAACCAGGGCCCCCAGTTTACAGCCGGAAGTGCCTTCGCACCCAGAAGGGAGATGGTTGAGAGAAGGGAGTCGGCAGGTCGCCAGGGTCTCGGGGCTCACCTGAGGCGGCCCAGTGGCGGCAGCCTCGGCCCATGATCTCCCCGTCCGCGAACTGGCCCTCGTAGTAACTTCCATCCTTAAACAGCAGCTTCCCGCGGCCTGGAGAAGGACACGGTGACGTCACGCCCGCAGCGGCCGGAGTGCCCGCAGGTGCCCGCAGCGGCCGGAGTGCCCGCAGGTGCCCGCAGCGGCCGGAGTGCCCGCCGGTGCCCGCAGCGGCCAGAGTGCCCGCCGGTGCCCGCAGCGGCCGGAGTGCCCGCCGGTGCCCGCAGCGGCCGGAGTGCCCACAGGTGCCCGCAGCGGCCGGAGTGCCCGCAGGTGCCCGCAGCGGCCGGAGTGCCCGCCGGTGCCCGCAGCGGCCGGGCTGTTTCTCAGGGAGGGGCGGGAGGGGCGGGAGGGGGAGTCCGCGGCTTGAGTGAAAGTGAGAAATCTCTGGCAAAAGCGCTACCATCCGTAAAAGCCAAAAGGTGGGGCCCACAGGTACGAGCGCTCATAGAGGAAAACACCACAGGTCCTGCCAGCTCTGCTCGCGGTTAGAGCGTCAGCCGCGGGCCCACGGGTCTCGGTTGGGCCCGATTTCCAGTCAAAGGCACAACCTTGGTGTGGGTCGGGGTGCGTGTGGGAGGCAAACAGCTGATGTCTCTCTCTCTTTCTCTCCCTCTTCCTCCCCCCCACCCTCTCCCCCCCCCCTCCCCTCAGCAGAACGCCAGGCAGACATGGGACTGGGCGGAGCGGGGGACCCGCTGGGAGGCCTCCAGGTGACCTCCACAGACCTCGCCCCTCGGCGGCGGAGCCTTTCTACGGAAGGAGATCAGCTCTTTCTGGTCAGAAATGAACCATGAAGGCAGCTGCGGTTTCCTGTCTGCGAGGAGGTGGTAGGCCAGGGGTCTCCTCCGACCCGGTGCCACGGCCCGGGCTTGTGGCTACCCGTGGGGCAGCACCAGGGCGGCCCCAATGCCTTTCCTGGGCGACAGCGACAGTGGGGGGCCCAGTCCCGCGGGCACCTGGTGCCACCCGCCTCCCCAGCGCCCGGAGGAAAGGGGCTGTCGGCTGCAGGGTGGCCGCGGCGGGGAGAGGCCACCGACGCTTCTTACCGTGGGTCTTCCCGCCTTTCCATTCCCCTTCGTACCGGAAGAAGGAATTGGGGTAGGTGTAGACACCGTAACCTGGATATTGAAAAAGATGGGCAGTGAGCACGTGGCACAGGCAGCCTGGCTGACGTCCAGCAAGTGCTCCAGGTGGGGTGGTCTGGGGGGGCTGTGCACTTCCCCACCTGTGACCTCCCGACACGGCTGCCCGAGGCTTCAGTCTGGGGGTCAGGACTTGTCCTGTGTACTGTCCACCCCGCCCCCACGCCTTCGTTTGCTTAAGCACCCAACATGATGAGCGCCTACTCAGTGCAGAGAGGCAGGCCCGTGGGAGGGCCTTGGGGAGTGGAGAGGGGTCTTGGAAGCTGAGCCTAGTTAGCCAGAGGAAGGCGAGGGCAGGGCGGGGGATGTTGTGCCCTGCGAATCACAGAAGGACGCCCCAAGAATTAAAGAGTCACATTGATTGCAATACGGGACTATGAGGGGCCGTTCTGCTTTCCCAAATCTCATAGTGATAAGATGGCCGAAACACCAGACTGATACAGGCAAAGATCACAAAGGTATTGATTACATCCCAAGGTTTGGAATGAGGAACCTGGTTTGCAAAAAAGCAGTTTACAGAAGCAGAAGCAGCATGTTATCTCAATCACAGTTTGGGGTCTCCGGATCACTGAATTGACAGAAACACGTTATCTAGAGCCCGGGGGTCTGGAATGAGGAACCTGGTCAGGCTTAAGCACGTTATCTCAATCACAGTTTTGGGGTCTCCGGAACACAAAGTCAACGGGGTCAGGTTAACTGGAGCCCTCTGACCTTGGGATAACCGTGCTGTCCTTCCCAGGTGAAGGAAAATGTGCTTTCTAAGACCAGTGTGACCACTACAAAGGGGATAGTCACATAATCAATAGGGTATTTAATCGAATGGGATGATTTATATAATTCAGAAAATCAAAATAACTTTTCTATTGTTAAACAAAGCAAATAAGTACAGAAGCCAAACAGCAGGGTTAAAGTTAAACTACAGTTTCTACCTGAGATGACTGCTACCACACTTCCGGAAGCTGGCCCCTCGGGTGGCCTCCAGTCCCATCAGGACAAAGCCCTCCCTCCCGCCACGCCGCTGCCGAGCGCACCACCCCCCACTCCCACTCCCACCCCACCAGCCCCCTGGTATGCGGGGCACAACTTGGGGGGAGCAGAGCGGTTCTAGGGGAGTGTGGCGTCATCAGACTCGTGCATCTGCCGAAAACGAGGTCAGGTTCTACCGGAAGAGAGCGGAGCGGACTCGGAGTTCACTCCAGTCCCTTTTCCCCAACTCTAAGGACAGCTCCCGTCAAACCTCTGAACCGCGCGTCCAGGCTCCGGCGCCTTCCGGCTCGGTCTCCAGGCCCCGAGACCCCGTCCCCCGCCCGTCCCGCGGGGCACCCGCGCACCCGGAGGCGAGGACCCTTCCAGGACCAGGGGCGACGAGGTCTCCGGGGATACCGACGGGGGCTCGTGGAAGCTCGCGTGGGGACCGGGGCGCGGGTAGGGCGTAGGGCAGCCGGACGCGCCCCCCCGCCCCCAGCCCTGCAGCCGTTACCGTCCTGTGGCGGCCGCCCCTGCGGGTCCGGGCGCTGCGGGCGGGAGCTCCGGCTTCCTTGGCTGGCGGCTGCCATCTTGCCGCTAGAAGTTTACCTTGGCAACCACTAAAGCCTCCTCTATTGGTTCGTTGGTCGCTAGGGGTGTGGTCACGGGCCCAGTCTCTGGGCGATCACAAGATCTGGAGTGGCGTCGTTCGGGCCCGGAGCCAGAAGACGCGCCTGCGCCTGCGCGGCCCAGCGCACTTCCGCTGCTTACGTTCTTTCCGCCGGGAAAAGGCGCCCGCACCGGAAGCGGAAATGGTTGGAGGCTCTTGGCTCCGCCCCGGCGTCCATCTTGGAAGCCCGGAGGCGGCGCCGCGTAGTACAGAGCGGAAGTGCTAGTCTGCCCCTTCCCGGACCGAGCGAAGCACCGGCGCGGCCCCTGCCCGCGTCCTTCTCCCCGCGGCCCTCGGAGACCGCGCTCGGCCGCTGCAGAGCCGCGAGGTACCGGCGGGCGGGCGGGCGGGGGCGGGGCAGGAGGGCCGGGCCGGGCCCCGGGTGTCTATGGGCTGATCGGCCCCCCTCCCGCCGCGCGTCCGGGAGGGGCCCCTGCCCGCCCGGGTAGTGCGGGGCGCCGGGGGCCGGGCTGTCTGGAGGGGCCGGTGGAAGGCGTCGGGCTGCAGGCGGGCTGCTCGGGAGGACGTGTCGGTCACAGGGCGCATTCGGAGGCGCCGCCACCAGGCCGGCCTCGCGGGCAGCGCCTCGTCGGCCCCTGTGCCGAGGACCGGGCCCTGGACGCTGTGCACGCTGGGACCCGGGCCCGGGAAGGGCCTCGCGGCGACCGCTCCGCCCAGGGCACGCGGCGACCGCTCGGGTGCAGCGGGGGGCCCGGTGGGCACCTCGGGGCGGGAGGAGCCCTCGGCCTTGCGGGGGCCGACGAGGGCTGGAACGGGAACCGAGAGGCGGGAGGGGAGCAGGCGGAGCGGGGACCCCGGAGCCGCACGACAGGCTGCGCCCGACGTCGCCCTGGTGCGCGCCTCGCTTCCTGAGACCGAGAATGAAGCACTGAGTCCCCTGACGGTTCACCACCGCCCCCGGTCCCGGGCCTCCCTGGGCGACAGGCCCCCTCCAGGCGCTCCGGGCGGAGCAGGTAGAGGAGAGGGGCCGGCGACTGCCCGCTGGACGCGCGCCGTGACCCAGCCCGGTGCCAGGGCGGCCGCCCCGCGGGGTGCGATCGCAGGCGGGAATGTGTCCTCGAGGAGGAAGCAGCAGAGCCCGAGGCTGGAGGCAGCCTGTCCGACTCCAAAGTCCACATCCTCAATGTTATTGTTGACGAGTGTGGAGGCGGAGCTGGTTTCACGGACAAACGGGCCATCAGCTCGGGACGGGGCCTGGACCCTCGCCGACTCTGAAACGGCCTCCGGGGCAGCCGGTGCCCCCGTGGCTCCTCCCGAGGCCGCTTCAGTGGTGACACCTCGGCCTTGACAGGTGCCGCCGGGACCCGGACGGAGGCGCTCCTGCTGCCTGGCGTCGCCTGGGCCGGTGGCCAGCGTCCTGGTCCGAGTTCTCACGTGGGAAACGGCTGCTCCCCGGGGGATGGACAGCCGCCCTCTGGCCCGGACCACGGAGGCTGGAGCCTGTCCGTCCTGGGCAGCCTAGTCTCTGCGTCTCCCTGGAGCGGAGGGCACGCCCGCCCCCAGGACCCTGCAGGCTCTGCCCTGGACGCGCTGCAGGCCGGGGAGCCGGGGAGCCACGGAGCCACGGTCGGCTCTGCCGTGACGCACGTGGCAGAGGGGCTGCTCCGCGATTTTAGGTGGAAGTTGTGACTGGAAAACGTTTCCATTGGAGACGCGGGACCACACCCCAGCGGCTGCCCTCGCTTCAGAGAGGACGCCCTGCACCCCTGGTGCGACAGCGTGATGGGAGCGTGGGCTGGGGTGGGGGGGCGGCGCAGGTGCCACGCGGTGAACGGGGGGCTGACGGGCCCAGACGCCTTCAGCCTCTGTCCTGTCTGAGACCGGGACGGGCTGCCTGCACGACGCCATTTTCCAGACGGGAACCTGGGCCTCGCCGCCCGCTCTGGGGCCTTGGGAACGAACGGCTGTGGTAGGGGCGGTGCCACCTGTAGGTTGGGGGCAGCGGGGAGCTCGGTCCTGGCGTCCTCACAAGCTTAGGTCCTGGGTCCTTCTCACCCCAAGGATCGGGCAGCGGCCGGCTGGGTGGGAGGCGAGCCCTGCTCCTCCCAGTGAAGCCGGGCGATGCTGCCCGCTGGCCTGGTGGTGTGGGTGCCCGCAGGGTCAGTCCTCGGAACCACGGCAGCGTGTTGCAATAGTCATGAGCAGCTAGGGTTACTCCGCCGGCCGATAAGGAACTGGGGCGCGGCAGCTGACCACCTGAGGTCGGCGTGGCGTCTTCCTCCCGGTGGAGGGGCGGGTGCGGCCCTGAGAGGACCGGGAGGTCCTGGCTGGCGACGGGCACCGCGGAGAGCGGCCTGGGCGGGGACGGGCTGGGCTGGAAGAAGGGGCGCTTGGGGAACGAGGGCGTGACAGGAGCAGGTGCTGGGAGGCGTGTCTGAGGAGCGGGGCAGGCGTGGGTGCAGGCGTGGGTGCGGTGGCCCAGCCTGTGGACCGGCCCAGGGGGGTGGACACGCAGCCGTGACTGCAGGGGCGGCGGGGCGGCTCCTAGGCCCCAGGAGAGGCGGCTCCGGGCGGCGGTGGCAGAAATGAAAGTCCACCCCGTGCTGCTTTGCATGTCACGTGCCTTCCTGGCCCGCCACCAGCCGTGTCACCTGCTGTTCTTGTCCAGGGCAGCTTGCGGGGAGGCACCCAGAAGCCGGCGGTGGTGCGGGGAAGCTGGCACTGAGCCGCTCCCTGGAGGTGGCCAAAGGGCCCAGACCTGCCTGCTTCCTGGTCTGACCGCGCCTGCGCCTTCTCAGTTACAGGATGTCCGAAGGGGACAGCGTGGGAGACTCCGTCCACGGGAAGCCTTCTGTGGTGTACAGGTTCTTCACACGCCTCGGCCAGGTGGGTGTCGGGGTGCCTGTGCGCATGTGTGCGCGAGAGCTGTGCTGGGCAGTGTCCACGGGGCAGGGGTGCCCGCGGGGTGGGGGGTGTCCGCGGGGCGGGGGTGCACAGGAGCCTCGTGCTCGCTCTCAGGACGGGCTCCCTCTGTCAGGGGCCGTGTCTTCTCGGAGGGGCCAGTGATGGACGACCCCTGCTCTTTGCCCCACACTTGGTTTCTGGGTTGTTTTCGAACCTTTAAAAATGAGAAAACCGTCCTTAGCTCCCAAGCGGTACAGACGTAGCAGCCCCCCGACTCTGATCTGGCCGCCCTTCCCGGCCACCTGCGTCTGCACCCGTGGCCCTCGCCCGGTGTGCACCGTGGCCGGACCTGGCGTGGGCTGGGGCAGAGCGTGTGCAGCGTGCGGCCAGCAGCGCCTCCACGATGCCCCGGCACCACGCGTGTTGTGCTGTCAGTTTTAACGTGAAGAGGGATGGGAACAACTCGGCAGTGGGAGCGGGGGAGGGTATGTCTGGGCTCGCACATCCTGTACTTTTATGACCGGGTGAAGATTTTCACAATTAAAACTTAAATGTTAAGATTAAGCAATTTCAAAAGTAGAGTTGGAAGCATACATGCTAATTACACACGTGCAGACATATACATGTGTGTGTACATATAAATTCGAGTTCCTCTGCAAACTCCACGGCTGCAGTGGTGCCACCTGTGCCCGCTCCACGCTGCAGGGTTGGGCCGGCTCCTCGGGGCCGTGGGCTGGGTCCTGCGTGCAGGTGGCGACTCCGAGGTGCACGCTTTCCTGCCTCGGGCAGGCCTCCTGGTGCTGAGGACGCCTGCAGTGAGAACTTGTTCTGTGTTGTGTTTGCCCGAGGACTGGACCTGCCTCGAATGGTTGCCATCCATTTGGGGTTAGCCGCCCGGGTCATGGCTGCCGCCCGGGGACGCTCAGCCGGAGGCCCGCGGTGGGGGAGATGCACGTGCGGGCGGCCTGCAGGTGCGTGACACGCATCACTCCTGTCCTTGCAGATCTACCAGTCCTGGCTGGACAAGTCCACACCGTACACGGCCGTGCGATGGGTGGTGACGCTGGGCCTGAGCTTTGTCTACATGATTCGGGTCTACCTGCTGCAGGTGGGTGTGGCCGAGGCGAGACGGGCGTCGCGTTCCCCGTGGTGCTGGGCTGCTGCTGTCTGCCTGGCGTGCGCGTGCGCTTGCGCTGTGGTGACTGCCTGGCCGGAGGCGGGTTCTCGTGGAGGCGGTCGGCGAGCTTCCAGGCTCAGGCCTCGTCCGGTGTTTTCTCTGGAGCAGGAAGGTGTTTCCTGGCCATGCGGGCTCCTCCCAGGCGTGGCCTGGGACAGAGGAGGCCGTGCTCCTGGGGGGACACGGCGTTTGCTGGGCGCGTTGTGTCCAGGCTGCGGATGGTCCCACAGATGCAGGGTGGAAACTCGCCTTGGGTGTTGTTCCTGGACGTGTCCCCGCCAGTCCGCCCCCCGGGGCTCCTGGGCCAGCGCAGCAGGACGGGGTCTGCGGGACGGGACACCTGCGATTCGGGTGGATTCACTGCCGTTGGTTCTAGTTTTGTCTTTTAAGTGGGAACTTGGTCCGTTCTGTAATGGGAAGAACGAGCCAGAAACCTTGCTGTAGAGAAGCCGGGCGGGGGACGTGCCAGTCACACCTGCGGAGCACCCTCGGCCTGGGCCTGCGCGGAGCTGCGCGGTCACTGGCACCCACACCTGGGCCCGCTCTGACCTGGAGGGTGGCCAGGCTTTCATAGTGAGTTCATAGTGAGCTCAGGTGCAGGTGAGTGTGTGCACGTCCTGCAGGGCTCCTCCCGCCTCGTTCCCGAGGACACAGGGCTCTAGAACGTTCTTACCTGCTTTCTTGATTTCCGGATTTTCCGGTTCTGGTTCCTGCTGGCAGAGAGGAAGGCGCTCCTCGGTGTGTGAGCACAGGTTTGAGGCGCCGCGGGGCTGTCAGCCGGCAGGTGCCGGCAGCGGAGGGGCCGCAGACGCGGACACGGCCCCAGCACGGCCTTGAGGCACCACCCTCAGTGCTCCCGGGAGCTGGTGGCTTCAGGGACGTGTGCCTCTGACTGGCCCCCTGGCTTGTCCACTGAGGACACAGGGCAGAAAACGCCCCGTGGACAGTCGCCACTTGGCTGTCCCTCGTTGTGACCTCTGCCGCGAGGAGCGTGTCCGCTCTCAGTCTGGCCCACGGTCTGTGTCTGCCGGGTGCCCCAGCGCGGTCAGTGTCTGCATCTGCCGGGCGCCTGACCCGCTTCCCTCTCTCCCAGGGCTGGTACATCGTCACCTACGCCTTGGGGATCTACCACCTGAACCTCTTCATCGCTTTCCTGTCTCCCAAGGTGGACCCGTCCCTGATGGAGGACTCAGGTAGGCGCCGCCCGCGTGCTGCTCAGGGCCTCCCTGTCCTCCGGAAACGCCCCCGTGAGCCTGGTCTGTGTTGCAGACGGGCCCGGAGCCGGGTCCTGGCGTTCAGGTGCTCGCGGAATGACCATGGAGCCCCGGACAGCCGTGTGCGGCGGGTGTTCCCTCTGCATCCCGACATGCAGGCGAAACCGAGGCACCGGGCTGTGTAGCGTGTCGGGGCCGCAGGGTCTGCTCCTTCCGAAACCGCCCGCCCGGCTTGCAGGCGCCTCCCCACTCACGCAGCCAGAGCTTCCCATGGCAACGGGGCTGGTGATGGCCACCAGGCCAGAGTGCCGGCCAGCTCCATGGAGGGTGGAGCTCTGGTTCCCAGGCCCTGGGCTGGAAGGTCTTGGCCCCACTGCTCTGGCCGTTCCTGGGCAGGTGGGCAGGTAGGGCCGTCCCTGGGCAGGTGGGCAGGTAGGGCCGCCCCTGGGCAGGGAGGGCAAGTGCCGCTGGTGGGCAGCGGGGAGGGCGAGTCCCTGTCCCAGCGCCTGAGGACGCCCTCGCTGGGGAGGAAGTGCCGGCGTGTCGGCTGTGCAGGGCGGACCCGGAGCCCCGACTCTTTACAGGCTTTTGGATGGAAACGTGAAAGGAGCCCCACACCCCCCGAGATGCGGCCCTTGGGGAGGTGGGGAGAACCTGAGGCCATGTCTGTGGCCACAGCTCCTCTAGCAGCAGCAGGCAGCCGTCTCGGGTGGGGTGGGGTGGGGCGGGGTGGGGTGAGGTGAGGTTGGGGGGGCTCAGCCCCCATGCGAGTGCCCCGTCTCCCTCGTGCTCCTTTGTGTGGTGCGGGTGGTGTGTTCCTCAGTTTAACTCACGTGTAGTTGAATTTTTAAGCAACTGTAGAATATGTGCAAGTTCTTCTTTAAAAGGAACTCTCACTTGAACTTTCTGAAATAACGAGTCGATTCTGACTTGGCTGAGGGTCCCGCCTTGCCTTGGCTGAATGACACGAACCTGCTTCACGTTAGGCCTTCTCCTTCCAGAGCGTCAGGGGGGCGTGGAAATGGGGTCGTGGAAGTAAAGGAGGCGGCGGCGCTTTTCCTGACCGCCCTTCTGCCTTTCAGATGACGGCCCCTCGTTGCCAACCAAACAGAACGAGGAGTTCCGGCCGTTCATTCGGAGGCTCCCGGAGTTTAAGTTTTGGTGAGTGAACCCCTAGTGCTGCTGTCCTCGCGGCTGGTTAGTGAGCCTGGGAACAGACCGGGTTGGGTCACGTCAGCCAGCACGTTGGGCGTTTCAGAGAAGTGAGCGGTGTCCTCCTTGGTTTGGGACATTTGTCCCCCCCAGCAGGATTGCGTGCCCGCGGGCGTGGCGTGAACATCTGTCCCCCCAGCAGGATTGCGTGCCCGCGGGCGTGGCTGGGCCCAGGGCCCTGGGGGACCGCTGCCCAGTGGCCTCTCCCAGTTGCTGGTTGAGGCCAAAGCTCTTTGAAATGAGCAAAGAGGTTGCGTTTGGGCAGAGCCTCCCGGCACGTGGCAGACCTGCCCCCAGAAGGTGGGCTGCGTGACAGCCTCTGTCCTGCTCCACACACGGCACCCCTTCTGGGGGAGGCAGCCGGACCAGCTCCTGTCCGCTCAGGTGTCCTCCGCACGTGGGGCTGGGCCGCCTGGGACCGGTGCTGGGGGGCTGCGCCCTGGGAAGTGCTGTGCTCTGGGACGAGGCTGGCTGGTGCCCAGGTGCCCTAGAGGCGGTGACATCTGCGTGAGGCGGTGATGGGAGGGTGACAGGAGGACTGGTAACTCCACTCTCGGCGGCATGGGGGCTCTGTGCCCTCTCTGTCCTGTATTTGTTGGATCAAAACCCTGAAGGGAGTGAGCCACCACATCTTTGCTCTGTATTCTGGGCGTGTGGGGGACTGAGCATGACATGCTGGGGGGGGGGGGGGGTGTGCCTGGGAGCCCCGAGGAAGCTGGCCTTTGCTCTGTAGGAAGGGGAGCCCAGGAGGCGGTTCAGTGGGGCTGTGGGCCGGGCTGCACGGTGGAGCCCTGGGAGCTGCCTGGCCCTCGTGGTCCCTGGGGAGCGGCGTCGGCACCCTCACTGCAGTCAGACTGTGGGAGGCGGAGGACACAGCTGCGTGCGGCCCGTGTGCAGATGCGCTCACCTTCCCTCCTCCCGTCAGGCACTCGGCCACCAAGGGCATCCTGGTGGCCATGGTCTGCACCTTCTTTGAGGCGTTCAACGTCCCGGTGTTCTGGCCCATCCTGGTCATGTACTTCATCATGCTCTTCTGCATCACCATGAAGAGGCAGATCAAGGTACCCCAGGGGCGCCGAGCCCGGAAAGGCGGTGCCGGCCGCAGCGGCCACGGCGCGTGGGGAGGGCAGGCGCCCTGTGGAACCTGCCTCGTCTGCAGGAAGCTCTGCAGGCCGGGGGCGGGGACGTGGGCTCGCTCCCCTCTGCCAGCGGTTCTGGGCCACGGCCGGTGTTGGGAACGGGCCTGGGAAGTCAGCCCTGGGGGCTGGGTAGGAAAGGCCCTGGGGTGTGCCCTCCTCCTGGGCATGGCGTCCTGTGGGTCAGAGCCGGGACCGGCCGGCCGGTGCAGGGGTTATGCACACTCTGCCCTAAAACAGGCCTGGGCCGACCCACTGCCCACCTCACTGATGTCGGGGCGCCTCCCAGCCCGGCCGGCCTGCTCTCGGGACCTTTCCCTGACCCCCCCCCGCTCCCCAGCCCCCGGTGGCCCCGCAGCAGGTGACACCTGGGATGGAAGCTTATCGCCGACGTGTCTGTCTGTCTATCTGTCCCCAGCACATGATCAAGTACCGGTACATCCCATTCACGCACGGCAAGAGGACGTACAAGGGGAAGGAGGACGCAGGCAAGACGTTTGCGAGTTAGATGGCCGCCCGGCCGCCCCCCGGAGCCCTCGGCGCGTCTGAGCCGTTGTAACGGCGCCTCTTTCTTCACATAAAGTAGTTGATGGCGAGGGAGTCGGATTTTCTTTTTAAAAAGGAGCTTCAATTATTTGTAACTGAAATAACAGGTTCTCGAGGAAACTGACACAGAACCTGAATTGCATTGATTCATTTACAGTGACACCAGGTGTTTAAATGGACAGAATGAGTCAGTCAGGCTGGGCAGCCGGTCGAGGGGGCTGGGGGTGAAGGACCCTCTGAGGCGGCCGTGGGCAGGCCCAGCGGGAGCAGGCGCTGCGGAGCCTGCGGTGGAGCAGCTGTGTCCACGAGGTGGCACGAACGCTGGGTCCCAGCCGCTTCCCAGCCTCGCCTCGCGGAGGTGGTCCCACCGGCCTCATGACTGGAAGCTCTGTTCCTAGCCACATGATTGCTCTTGGGGCCTGGAATTATAAATATATATTATATTTTAATTGTTTGAGATTATTTTGACCTATTTCTTTCCTACGTGAAGAGTTGCTGAATGTGAATGTCCCCGGTTCTGTGGGTCCGGCGGCTCCTGCGAGGATCAGCGGGGACCTGCGTGCCGACGTCCGATGTGATGGAAACATACTCGTGGCCCTTTTACTCAGTGACTTTTTAATTCAAACGTTATTAAAGACGGTGTGCCCTTCTCATGGAGTCTTTATCCAGAGGCGCCCGCGGGGACCTCTGCCCAGGCGCAGGGTGGGCAGAGCGAGGCAGGGCTGGGGTGGGCTCGGGCGCAGAGCTGTGCACCGTCCGTTCTCACGTCGGGTGCAGACTGCGGCCGAGCAGCTCCCCACCTGCCTGAGGGTTTCTGACATCAGGTGTTGCCGCCTTTCTGGGCTTGAGCTCCTGCTTTTTAAACCCCCCCAAGGATCTGTGTTCGTTTGATTTTAGAGAGGAGGGGGGAGAAATACATCGATGTCAGAGGGACAGCTGTGAGCTGCCTCCTGTATGCGCGCCCCCCCCCCCCCCAGCATCGAACCCACAACCCTTTGGTGCCAGGACGGGGCTCTGACCCATGGAGCCGCTGGCAGAGGCCAGTTCAGATTCTGCCCCACCTCTCACACCGTCGCCCTCGGAAGCGCTCAGGCCTGGCGCCGTGGGAAGCTGTGCGCTTGGCCGAGTGTAAGTCAAGGATTTCGGGGCCAGTGGCAGCCTGCCCTGGGCCCCTCGTCTGGGTCTGCTGCTCAGGCCGGCCCCGCCAGTGGCCCGTGACCTTCATTCCCGCGGAGAACAGCGTCTGTTGCCGGACAGCTCACTCTAGGGAGCACTGCACTGTAGCAGGGGTGCCACGCAGACCAAGGGCCTGGCCCGGGCGGGTGGCCCAGCCTATGGCCTACTTCTGTGGAATGGGTTTCTTAAGGGGACTTACGGCGAAGTTCTGTCTCTGGCACAAGTTAAACGGTTTTAAAACCTGGAAGCTACAATACGTGGCAGGGAGTAGCTGGACATGGGTGACGGCTGTCCCAGCGCCGGCCTCTGAGGGGGTCTGTGGCCTTAGGGTTAGGAAACTCGGGAAAGTTGGCTGCCCAGCAGGAGCCCCGGGCGGGGGGGCCCTCAGTCTGTAGGGACCAGGACAGACCTGTGTCCTAAATGGGGAACAGACTCGACATGTGAATTAAGGCTGGTTTGGCTCAGCAGTTAGAGCTTCAGCCCACAGACTGGATGGTCATGGGTTCGAGTCTGACCAGAGGCACGTATTTCAGTTGCAGGTTTGATCTCGGGCCCAGGTTGGGGCGCAGGTGAGAGGCAACCAGTCTGTGTGTCATGTCCATGTGTCTGTCTCTCCCTTTCCTTCCTCTCTAACCATCAGCGGGGAATCCTCAGGTGAGAGGCAATCAGTCCGTGTGTCGTGTCCATGTGGCTCTCTCCCTTCCCTTCCTCTCAACCATCAGCGGGGAATCCTCAGGTGAAGAGAGGCACCTGCTGGGCGCCCTGGCCTCCACGCCCGTGAGGGGCTGTGCCTGGCCACTCGCAGCGGCTGTGGTGGGGGCAGGGTTAGTAGGTGGGGGGGCTGGCGGGCTGCACTTGCCCACTCAGGCCACATCCTCTTGCCCACCCGATGTCGGCTTGTCTTCTCATCACAGAAGGGACCGGTGTGTCCTCAGCTCTGCGGTCTGGGGAAGGGAGGGCCTAGGACCTGGTCCCAGGGAGCGAGTCCCTGCAGAGCCACCGCCTGGCACTGCGGGGCAAGGGGGTGCCACAGGGCCGGCGGGAACTGAGCTGAGCAGAGCCCCTGCCCGAACCTGGCTGGGAGCCTTGGACCAGCCGCCCAGCTTGTCCTCCTGAGCTGCTGGCGCAGCATCTCATGTGACAAAAAATATAAAATCAGAGGATTTTACGGTTTCTGTGCAAGTTTGTCAGAATTCATTATGTCTCTCCTGACAGGCGGCTGCCGGTGGCTCCATCCGTCCATCCTGTCACCGGAAGTGCCGCAGGTAGACCAGCTTCTGGGGAGGGAACCTCTCCCGGCACAGGGGACACTCCGTCTAGGGGGAGGGAGAGGTCACATGGGCTGTGCCCGCCCCACGAGCCCCTCCATCAACGTAACACAAGACAGTTTGCATGTCTTCGAAGCCGCAGCCTGAAAAGGCCCTCACCCGGGTGCTGGGAAGAGCAGTGAACTGCAGCCAGAGCAGCGACCCGCCGGCAAGACGGCCAGCCTGGCACGGTGACGGGATGGGGGTTGAGATGCCCACGGGGCTGCCTGTGCCCATCGCCCATCCCGTTTCCTGAAGCCGGGCAGTCCCACCCCCAAGGGCCACCTGGGTGAGACCAGGTCAGCCTCCCTCCAGCCCTGCAAAGGTTGGCCGCTCGCCTGCCAGGCACCCACGGGGCAGCCGAGGGGTGAACAGTGAGCATCACGCCCCGTTCACCTCCTCACCGGGTGGCCCTCCCACTCCCCTCAGCCCCGCCCTGGAGATGCTGGGTGCGGTGAGCTCGCCATGAAGCGGGGGGCCCAGGACTGGGCCTCCTGGGTCAGATGGAGGCGAGAGGCTCACTGCCCCCTCGCCCCGAGGTCTCCAAGGCCAGGGCAGGGCTGTCCGAGCTCCCACGGCCGTCATGCTGGGCACCTGCCTGGCTGGAGGGCAGGGTCTGGCACATGTGACCAGGAGCCTCCAGGAAGGGACACCCCCCAGGAGCGATGCGCTCGGATGCTTCTGGCCAAGTGTCCACAGGCAGCTGTGGTGCCTGGACCTGACCCGACCCCCTACCTGCCCACCTGGGGGTTTAAAGACACCTGCCCTCCCTCGTTTCAGGGCGGCCGCCTGGCAGTCCCCCGGGACCTGCGCTCTGAGGGCTGCTGACCTTGGTGTCGCACCACTGGGTGATGCACTCCCAGCAGAACAGGTGGCCGCAGGGCGTGGCCGTCGAGTGCCTGCGCTCCTCCAGGCACAGGGTGCACAGCGAGGTCCGGGACACCGCTCTCTCCTCCGTGAGGCTCCTGCGGGGGGGGGGGGGGAGGACTGAGCCTCAAAGTCCTTGCTGAGCCGCCCGAGCCCTGGTGCCGCCCCTCACCTGCGGTGAGACAGCCTGCGGTGCAGCTTCCACTCCCGCTGGGCGCGCTGCCTCTGCCGGAAGCCGTGGAGCTGCAGGCCCAGCGACAGCGCCAGGTGCAGCAGGGAGACCAGGCCCAGCAGCCGGTAGCTCGCCCGGGCCCTCAGGTCCTCTGCAGGCGGGTGGTGGAGGCGGAGCTGTCAAGGACCCCAGGGGACAGTCATGACCGGCACACAGACTGGACCGCCTGGAGGCCAGCCCTGCCTGCACTCGAGTGTCCTGTCCAGTGAGGCCCAGCCCGGCCCCCTCGGTGCACAGGAATGGAGAATGGCATGGGCCTCAGGTGAGTGAGGGCAGGGCACCTTCCAGGGCCTGAGCATAGGTGGGGGCAGTCAGGGACGCTGCTGGACAGCTCGGCCTCGTCCCAGCAGAGGAGCGAGAAGTGTGCTGACCACTCTGGCTGCACACTTGGGGGTGGGGGACATCCAGGGACCCCAACACCGAGAGGAAAGGAACCAGCAAAGAAGCCTGAGGAAGAGCACCCAGCGGGCAGGGGCAGCCGCTGCTCACACCGTGTGGGCAGGAACAGGCCACTGTGCCACCGGCGTGACTGTGCCAGCCCCTCCTGCAGCCAGTGACGGGGCAGCTTCTGGCCATGTCCACTGCCCGCCTCCCTTCCCTTGGCGGGGAATGGAGGCAGCCACGTCAGCAGACCGGCCGGGCCCTGGTGCTAGCAGAGAAGAGCCCACGGCAGCCCCAGGGGCCCCAGCAGAGGGAAAAGCCCTTGGGCTGAGCCTCTCGTTTCCAGGCTCCTTTGTGACAGCAGCTCAGCAACACACAGAGGAGCCCGTGGGGACGAGACTGACCCACGGGGGAGGCACAGGCCCCGGGACCATGCTGCTGAGGGCGGTGAAGGGGGCAGGGGGAGGGTGGGGCTTCCTCACAGGGAGCACAATGCTGGGAGCAGCCAGGACACTCTGGCCGGGGACCCGCTGGTGGGCAGGCAGGTCCCAGGGCGGCTCCTAGGTGACTGGGGCAGGGAACTGGGACAGGAGGGTGTGAAGTGTCCTCCAGCAGAGCGGGCGGCAAAGACTAGGGAAGACAGGCGGGGTGCTGTCAGCATTGGGGCTCCCATACGTCAGGAGACTCACCTACACGTGACCCACCATCAGGGCAGCCTGGGAGGTGTGGCCACAGGCCTGTGCTCTGAGGAAGGAGCAGGCGCAGGGCCTGCACCGCATGTGGCCCGAGGCAGACTTGCCGTACGTACCCTCAGGGTTTGTGGAAAATAAACTTCCTTGTTTTTTTTGTTTTTTTTTAGCAAAATGTGAACCAACAAAACCCAGTGGAGGGTTGGGCCAGCCCCATGGCTGCTAGTCCACAGCGGCCCTGAAGAGCCAGCCCTAGGCAGGCGAACCCGGATCGGGTGGCGGCACCGCACTTACGTAGGTGACTCCGGCGAGCCTCTTGGCCAGGTGGTAGAAGGCGCCGTGGATGTAGAACCAGGCGACGTGCAGCCGGTGGAGGCAGCCCAGGCCCTGCCTGAACACCAGCACGGCCCTCAGCAGCGCCTTCCTCTGCGGCTCGGGCAGGGCCGCCACCTGCCTGTGCACCCAGCGCCTGGCTCCCGACCGGCCTCTCGCGCTGGGTGCCAGGCTGCCCGGCGCCGGGCGGGCGCCGTTGCCATCGGTCTGCAGCTCCTGCTCCAGGTGGAGCAGGGCCTTGTCCAGCACGTAGGGCAGGACCGTGTGCAGCGCGACCAGCACGCCGCGGCGCAGCCTCTGGGGCACCTGCCTCCGGGACGGGTCCACCTGGATGAGCCCCACGTACTCCTCGCCGAGGGTCTGGTAGCCTGGGGGCGGGAGACACCCACGGGCAGGCTGAGGCAGGTCTGAGCTCCCCGAGCCCCCGCTTTCTTCTGAAGGACGGGCTCCCCTGACAGGCTGTGCCAGGCCCCTCTCGGCCACGGGCTCAGCCACGGAGAAGCGTCCCCACGGCACCCGGCCAGGCCCAGGAGAGAGGTCCCAGGGACACAGGATGAGAGAGGACACCACGCGACAGGTGAGCGGAGTCGGGGCTCCCAGAGGCCCCGGTGGGCTCAGGGCCCGGCCCCCCCAGCTCCGGGAGCTTCAGACTCCGCCCTCAGCCCCTCCCGTCCTCCGCGCTGGGCGTGTGTTGTGGCCCCGGGTCCGAGGCCCCCGGGCGCGTACCGGCCAGCGTGGTGAGGCCGAAGTAGGCCACGTCCGACAGCAGCTCGAGCTCCTTCCGCCACTCCAGCCACTTCCTGGCGCCTGAGAGCAGCAGCGGCATCGTTACCGGGCGGGGGCGAAGGGGAGGCCCCGCTGCCCAGGCCCAGCACGACCACCTGCCCTCGGGCCGAGACTGTCCTAAACGCGCCCCCTCCCCTCCCCCGGCCTCGGCGGCCCACTCTGCGCCCCCTGCTCCTGCCTGGCCTGGGCCACCGCGTGGAGTCCCTCTCCCCGCAGGGCCCGCCTGGGGGTGTCCTGGCGCCCGGAGGCCGCGTGACAGACGGGGTGATAGACTGAGTGACGGCCCAGCACCCACCCCGCTCCCCACCCTGCGGTCATGGCCTCGGGCAGCTCCAGGGTCTCCGGACCCCAAGGTCCCAGCCTGGAGGCGGGGACGCCGAGTCCCGCTTTGCAGGGTGTTGGGGGTTAATACTTGGAAAGCGCCGACACGCGCCGGGCGCCATCGACAGGCCCCGCCCGCGCTCCCGGAGGCTCCCCACGCTCCTCGCCCTCCCGGCGGCCGGCGCCCACGGCCCTCGCTTCCTCCTCCAGCGCAGGTCTCGGCTGGGGCGCCCAGGACCACCCACGGACCGGGCACCGCCAGCGGCGCCCTGGACGCTCACCCGCCAGGCTGTGCAGGGCGCTGCCCGCCGCGCTCCGCAACCCGCCGCGGTAGTAGTCGTCCTTCTGGGCCGCGCGGACCACCTCGGGGGGACTGGCGGCCGCGGAAGCCATGGCCGCGGGGACCCGGATGGCCACGCCCACACGGCGCTGCCCGGTGACTGGCTGGGCGTGCGGCGCACACCTTGTGCGTCACGGCCCGCGTGGCGGGGCCAGGTGGGGGCGGGGCGGAGGACGGCCGGGCCTGCGGGCTCGGATTGGGCGATGAGAGGGCGGGTCGCGCTGGGGACGGGGCGGGGCCATGTGGGGGCGGGGCGGAGGACGGCCGGGCCTGCGGGCTCGGATTGGGCGATGAGAGGGCGGGTCGCGCTGGGGACGGGGCGGGGCCATGTGGGGGCGGGGCGGAGGACGGCCGGGCCCGCGGGCTCGGATTGGGCGATGAGAGGGCGGGTCGCGCTGGGGACGGGGCGGGGCCAGGTGGGGGCGGGGCGGAGGACGGCCGGGCCCGCGGGCTCGGATTGGGCGATGAGAGGGCGGGTCGCGCTGGGGACGGGGCGGGGCCAGGTGGGGGCGGGGCGGAGGACGGCCGGGCCTGCGGGCTCGGATTGGGCGATGAGAGGGCGGGTCGCGCTGGGGACGGGGCGGGGCCAGGTGGGGGCGGGGCTGGAAAGGGTGGGACCAGCCGGAGCCGAGTGGGCGAGCCGGGCGGGTGCAGGGGAGGCGACGAGCGAGGCGGGGGCCTGGTCCGAGGGCGCCGGACGCGGCGGGGTTCCTGCGTCTGAAAGCGGACCTGGCTGCTCCCGTGCGAGTGGAGCGCGGGTCAAGCCCTCGGGACTGCGGGGCATCGAAGCCAGAGGCGGGTGCTGAGCCTCCGGGGGGCGGGAAGCCTCGCTCGCCTCCCGCGCTCCAGGCCAGGCTCCGTCCGGCATGGCCCCCGCGCGGCTCCTGTCGCTGCCTCACGTTCTGATCGCAGGGACCGCACGGGGCCCTCCTGCGGGCTGAGCCTTCCCCGGCCCCACTAAGCGGCTCTGGGGACCCCGCTGGGGAGCAGGGGCTCCGAGCCTTGGGAACCAGGTCATGAGGACAAGACGGGCACCTCCACTCGCCCGCAGGCTGCCCCTCCGCCCTGCGCTCACAGGGGGGCCGCACCCCAGAGGGGACAGCCTCAGGCGCAGCTGGGGTCCTGAGCAAGAGGGTGGGAGGAGTGGGGGGACCGGGTGAGGCCCGGAGCCTCCAGGCTGCACCTGCCCAGCGGCCACCTGGTGGGAGAGGCAGGGCCCCAGATGCACTTGAGTGGCCTCAGGCCAGCAGAGAAGCGCCCGGGAGCCACGGGGTGGGGGGGGAGCCACGGGGTGGGGGGGGAGCCACAGGGTGGGGGGGGAGCCACAGGGTGGGGGGGGAGCCACAGGGTAGGGGGGGAGCCACAGGGCCCCGCCCAGAGGGTGTGGGCAGGACCCGTGGCAGCTCTTGGCCTCACCTCTGCTCTGTCCTCCAACCTCAGGAGGCTCAGCCAGTGATACGGAACCGGCAGCGCCGTCCGGGGGAGCTGGGGGAGCCCCACCAGCAGGAGGAGGGGCACACCGGGGCCTGGCCCTCTCACCAGTCCCCGTGCCCCTCGAGAGCCTCCCCCCTGCCTGGGCCCGTGTCCTGGGCGGGGGGCTGCCGGCTGCGTTGGCTGGCGGCCGGGCGGACCTTGGAGGCGGTGGTGCAGGGGCGGCCAGGGCACCGGAGACACTGGGCCTCGCGCGGACGGGTGCACGTCCAGCGGCACCCAGTGGGACCTGGAGTGGCTGGGTCCCCTCCCTCGGGGTCCCGCCTGTCTGTGCCGAGGGCCTCGCTCTCTGGTGGGGGCCCTGGGATCACGGGGTTCAGGTCGCCTCAGCTTCCTCAGTGGTGCGCAGAGCTCTTGTTTGGGGCGCTGCTGGCAACGGAAAAAAAGTGGCGATTGCCTCCTTTTTCCTCCAAAGTGACGTCCTAAAAAATTAGGCGCCTGCACTTGGGTTAGGATTTCTGGTACCAAATTAACCAATCAGATGCACCCTTATTATGCGACATGGCCAACAAAGACGCAACTCTGTTAAATCACCTGCATACAGGGTGTCTCCCCCCCAAATCTATACACTCTCGCTAGCAGCTGACAGCGCCAGGACTGGAGTCAGACTCCAGAACGGCCAGCAGGCGTCGCCATCGGCTCATCTGCTCCACCAAGTTCGAAGGTTGGATTTCTGGGGGTCAGGGACTGAGCGCACCTCCCAGGACGGGAGCCAAAGACAGGAGTGGCCGCTCCCCTGGCCGCAGTGTCCAGGTGTGGACGCGGCTGAGGGGTGACTGACTGGGTTTCAGAGCAAAGTCAGGTGGAAGGTGCGGCCGGAAGCCCTTGCCCGTCAATAGTCAGCTGTGTCCCCTGCTGACCACAGGTGGTCTCGGCCGGAGCCCGGTGGTCTCAGGACTCTGGGGTGGGCGGGCGGGGGCGAGGGTGGGGGCCCTAGCGCCAGGCCAGGCGAGGGCTAAAATAGTGCTTTTCCTCCCACCTTCTCAGTTCTAGCTGGGTCAGCATTCAATGATCAGAGACAGGTTCACACAGTCGTTCTCAACCTCGGCTGCACATTAGAATCACCTGGGGCCACAACATTAGTCACAAAGAAACAGAATTTCCGGAGGATGAGGCCCAGAAATCAGGATTTTAACAACATTCCCAGGTGATTCTAATGTGCAGCCGAGGTTGAGAACCACTGGGTTAACAGGAGAAAATCAAACCTTAATACCCAGGCATGCGGGCCTTCACGTGAGCATGAACACTCCAAAGACACGAGGCAGCACGGGGCGCGGAGGACATTCTTGGACGAAGGAGACAGCGGGGGAGGGGGGCCTTCGCTGTCAGAACTGGGAGCGGGTGATTGGCAGGTGGTCGAGGGGGAGGAACACACAGTAGGGCGAGCGTGTCAGACTCACGGCGAGCACGGGCCAAGCGAACAAGGTTTACGTGGATGTGGCCACAAAACACAGAAGCTTCCATTTTCATAGAAACGTAGGTTTACTTCGACGGAGACATGCTGAATACAAAGGGCTGAGATAGATGAGTCATCGTTAACATAAAATAATAGGACATTTTAATAAAAATTTATATTTTTTCTTGGACTTACCAGACACTGAATAACTGCACAAATTAATAAGCGTAACGCACATAAGCCTGTTTTTCTTGTTCCCCGAAAGCGAAATATTTCCTGTTGCGCACACCAAGCAAGTCGGTCCAAGACGGACGACGTGGCCATCGGCGGCTAGAACATTCGCTGCTGGTGTCAGTGGAGCGAAACGGTGGGCCTGCGTGTGAGGCGCGTGGGGAAACGAATGAAGCACGATGATAGTCATCAGTCACTAGCGGACGTCGTAGTTCGTTAATAATAATTACGTATAACAGGATATTGTAAAAATTAAGGTACAAAACTTTCATTAAAATGTTTCTTACATACCGTTATATTGGCTGGGCCGCAAAATATTCCCTGTGGGCCGCGAGTTTGACGTGCTTGGCATAGGGAGTTTCTTCCAGAACACCTCCTGTAGGGAGCTCAGAGCCCAGGGGACACACGCATCTCGCTAACAGGCCTGGAGCCCCCGGCCGAGCCTGGGGAAGGGCTCCGGGCGGCGATGTTCACCCTTCAGCTCACGGCGCACGTAAGCTAACGGCTAACATTCTGCATTGTTTGCTGATCTGACAAAAAGTAGTTATAATCTTAATAGATTTAATACCAAAAAAAAAAAGAAAGAAAGAAAGTAATTGCCTACGCTTTTTGTTCCAAAGTGACTTTTTAAAAAAATCAGGTGCCGCCCAGCCGGCGTGGCTCAGTGACTGAGCGTTGACCTATGAGCCAGAAGGTCACGGCTCAATTCCTGGTCGGGGCACATGCCTGGGTTGCAGGCTCGATCCCCAGTAGGGGGCGAGCAGGAGGCAGCCGATCAATGATTCTCTCTCATCGATGTTTCTATCTCTCCCCCCCCTTCCTCTGTGAAATCAATAAAAAATATATTTAAAAAAAAATCACGTAAGGATTTCTGGTACCAAAAATGAACCAATCAGAGGCAACCTTGTTATGTGACGGGACCTGTATAGAGGTTGTCCCCCCAAAATCTATACGCACTTGAACAGCTGACAGCTCAGTTTTGAGGATGGAATGCATGTTCGTAAACACCGCCTTTACAATTGTTCCGAGTGTGCATACAGTCTGGGGGACACCCTACGCTTATGGCGCGAGACCGGCCTTCACACTGGACGGCTGATGGTTAGCTGTTGTCCTTTTTTATTTGACAATCGCAGGGGGAGAGGGCGGTGCCCCGGACGGAATCGTCAGGCCTGGCCTGTGTTCACATCCTCGGGGCACACCAGGGTGCCGCGTGCCGGGCTGAAGACCCCTGCCCGGGGGTGACGAGGCCCAGGCTCCCTCCGGAGGCAGGTTTCTCTGAGCCTCTCGGGCAGAAGGCGGGAGGGTCAGTCTCCTAATAAACAGTGACCGTCAACATCCCCAAGGGCAGCCTCGGCCGTGCCGGTTCCTCCCGCTGAACGGCGGGCCTGTGCCCACGTGACTTCCAGCCGCTGCGGGTCCCAGGACGAGGCGGAGGTGAGGTGCTGCTGGGCTGCAGGCAGGTGGTCGGGAGGCCCAGCCTGCCCCCCTGTGGCCTCCACCCCCCCCCCCCCCGTCCTCGCAGCAGGAGCCTGGGCTGGGCTCAGCCTTACTCCACTGGGATGAACCCGGAAAACAGGCTTCTTCACCTGCAGCACCTGGGGGGCCCTCACCCTCCCTGGAGGTACTGGGGTGGTGGCCAGGGGGTGGGGTGGTGGCCAGGGGGGTGGGGTGAAAGCCCCTCAGCCGGGCAGTGGGGCACCCGGCAGCGCCCCAAGCCGTGCCGGGTCGGGGTACGGACAAGGGGCCCAGAGCAGAGCAGCCGGGGAAACCCCGTCCGGCCAGGAGTCCACCTTCCCGCTCTGGCCACGACAGCACAGGCTGGTCCGCACAGCCAGAGCCCCGGCCCCCGCCCGCACCCCGAATCACCCGCATCACCCGAATTGCCCGGCATCCCTTCCTCACGGGCCCAGGCCCACTCGTGACTGATGGGGCCTCTGTGGAGTGAGTGCCGCCCCGCCCAGCCCCTCAGGACGCACCTGACGCTGTGGTTTCGGTGGTTTACAGAACGCATGGTGTTTGTTGCAATTATGTGTTTAAATATATATTTATTGGTTTCAGAGAGGAAGGGAGAGGGAGAGAGAGAACCATCGATCGATCGGCTGCCTCCTGCACGCCCCGCACGGGGATCGAGCCCGCAACCCAGGCCTGTGCCCTGCCTGGGAATGAACCGTGACCCGACGGCCGGATTGTTGCAATTATTTTTGATGGACAACAGCGGCGCTAACCTGTGGTTTCCGCACCCCTTCCCGCCTCTCTGACCGGTTGTGGGGACTCAGAGCTCTCGTCAGGAGCGTCCTCTCCCCCAGGGCTGCTGGGGCGGGTGCTTGGGGTGCCGCTGGCATCGATGTTCCCGGAGGCCGAGGGAGGATGAGATGGCAGGAAGCCCTATTCCCCTGGAGGCACAGCCCTCGGTCTCCAAAGCCCCACTTCCCTGCGCCTGAGCCAGGCCTGGGGAGAGGCCGCCTCAGGCCGGTGTCTGGCGTTTCTGTTCCACGTCGGGGCCGGGCCCAGCCCAGCGCCAGGCCGGCTGCAGCCATCAGCCCACTGCACACGGGCGAGAGGCACCAAGAGGCTGCAGAGCCACAGAGTCCCTAGAGTCCGGAACACACAGGCGTGGGACGGCCTGTGCAGGGGCCGCGAATTCTGAGCCCTCACGGGGCCACGCCCACTGGCCACCATCTCCGCCCCAGGTGTGATGGACAGCAAGCCCTTCTCTCTGTCACCCCAGCTGTGCTGGACCCGCCCCCAGGGAACAGGCTGATCATGGCTGGCCTTCCCTTTGCTTCTCCTCTGTCCCTAATAACCAGTTAAATTACAAGATCGCCAGCCACTTGTGAGCTGCCTGTGAGGCGCAGCCACAATTAAAATCGAATTAAGCTAATTGAATCCTGTAAACATGCCCATTATCTCAGGAACCACGGTAAGCAACACTGCGCCTCCCGCTTCCTCTGCCGACAGCGGCGGTCCCCTCGCCCGGGTGTGGGGAGGGGGTGTCTGTCCCGGGAAATCGTGGAGACTGGGGGTTTGGCGCTCAGGCCCCCCACGTCCCCCCAACTCCGAGCTCAGAGTCCCAGGGTCGGCGCTTGCGATCACGGAAACCGCACACACCACCCGCGGGGCTTCTCCCAGGGGCTGGCTGTCCGTCCGACCGGCACACCCCTGGCGACGATCATTTGCTATTTTTTAAAAAATATTTTTATTGATTTCAGAGAGGAAGGGAGAGGGAGGGAGAGAGAGAGAGAGACATCAATGATGAGAGAAGCATTGGCCTGCCGCCTCCTGCTCGCCTGTGCCCAGGCCTGTGCCCTGACGGGGAAGCGAACCGTGACCTCCTGGTTCATCGGTCGGCGCTCAGCCCCTGAGCCACGTGGGCCGGGCTGATGGTTTGCTGTTCACATTAGAAATGAAACCGGGCGTTTAAAAATACTGATGGACTCAGCTCGTTAAAAATAGCAACTCGCCGTTACTTGTTACCATGAATAGCATTTTATAAAAACTGACGTTTCCTCCCAAAACAAAGTTGTAGTGACAAGAGCACCTGGTTTACTGGGTTGCAAATCCCAGCGCTGCCTAGTCCCTTGGCTTCTGCAGGCTCCTGGGCCCCATCGCCCCGTGCCCCTGGGGGGCGGAATAAGGAGAAAGCTGGCTTTCTAGACGATGCGGGGTGTGGGGGGGAGGGAGGGGGTCTCCTTGGGCGCAGCCCCCCTTGCCTCCCGCCCCCCCCCCCCCATGGCTGAGCAAACGGCACCTTCAGACAGGCAGCCCGGGAGCCGCAGGCCTTGCTGCCGGGACCCTGCGGTGTGACTGGCGCCGCTCTCCTGGCCGCCCGTGGAGCCCACGTGAATTGGCCGTCAGGCTGGGGTCGCGGGAAAGGACGGGTTGGCTGCGTGGGCAGTTTCCCCGGCGCCCGCGGGTCTCACACCCACAGGCCGCGGCTCCGCGGGAAGCGCCCTCTGCGAATCTGGAGGCATCAGGCTCCGCACGGTGACTGCTCGCCGTCCCTGGGTTTCCGTCGGGACCGCACCCCAGGGGCCTCCAGAACCTCCCCCCTCACGGGTGGGCGTCCCAGGCTGCACAGCACGCCCCTGCCCTGGCTGAGTGACCCCGGTATCCGGGACCTGTCCCTGCACAGGCCCTGCTCTGTGAGGCCAGTCTCAGGCCCAAACATGCCCCTCATCACCCAGTCGCTCCTGTCTGCCCTGGTGAGCCACCCTGGCCCCACGCACCCCACTCCCCTGGCCCATGTACCCCACCCCCGGCCCCATGTACCCCACCCCCGGCCCCATGCACCCCACCCCCGGCCCCATGTACCCCACCCCCGGCCCCACGTACCCCACCCCTTGGCCCTATGTACCCCACCGGTACCACGTACCCCACCTCCCCCGGCCCCATGCACCGCCCCCAGCCCCACATACCCCACCCGTTGGCCCCACGCGCCCCCCACAGCCCCACATACCACCCCGGCCCCACGCTCCCCACCCCCCGGCCCCAGGTGAGCGAGGCAGCCTGCAGTGGCCTGGCTGGACCTGCCCTGCACGAGGCCCAGCACCAGCCTTCGCTCTTCGCCTTCTCCTCCTCTAGGTCTGGGCTGGGGTGGGGGCGGGGGTGGGGGCGGGGGGGGGAGGTGGCACCTGGAGAGGAGCCCCCTCAGGTAGCCCCAGGGGAGCTGGGTGGGGCTGGCTGCTGGGCCCCAGGTGAGAGGAGGCTGAGGACAGGCAGCGACAGGCGTCCAGCCCGGACAGGGGTGGGGGGACCCCGGGAGGACACTGGGCAGGGCCAGGAAGAGCGGGCGGAGTTTGGGGAGAGCCTCCTGGGTCCCCGCACCGCCACACCTCCGGGTTGGGGGTGGTCCCGCCTCCCCAGAGCCGGGTCTCCTCAGTCTGGGTGGCCGGAGGGGGGAGGGGTGGCCTGGGAGGGAGAGGACGCCCCACCCAGACACGCGATCCTCAGAGGCCGCCTGGGGTCCCAGAGCCGGGGATGCCAGCGGGGGGTGTGGCGCTTGGCTTCCTGGGCGCTGCCGGGAGGGGGGGCCGGAGGGAGCAGGCTGGGGCCTGCAGAGGGCCCCCCACACTCCCGCGGCGGCCACTCTGGGAGCCTGGCCGGGGCTGTGTGCAAGTCCTCAGGGTAGGAAGGGGCGGGGGGGGGGGGCCCTTCGTCCTTGGGGCTTCGCGGGCGGCAAGCTGGCTGCTCTGGGCACCGCGGGGCTGGGCCCCCTCCGGCCGGTCTGGGCCCCATGTGCTGAGGAACCGGGACCGGCTGCTGGGGGCAGGGGGAGGGCGCTGGGCCTCCCTGCCCCCCCCCCCAGCCCGCCTGGCACTGAGGGCACATGTGGGCAGGGGCTGTTCCCAGGGCTTGCAGGAGCCACTGGTGTCTGGGCGGAGGCCTGAGGTGGGAGGTGCCCCCTCCTTAGCTGGGGCCGGGGTCTGGGCTCCTGGGGCAGCGGTGAGAGGAGGCCCAGTGAGGACGACGCACAGCATGGCCAGCTCGGCCCCTCGACCCCCCGCCCCCCACGTGGCCGCCAGCCCTGCTGAGGCCCCCCTGCTCCTGCTGCCCCCGAAGCTGAGGGCCCGGCGGCTGGAGTGGGGGCGTCGTGAGGGGCCCGGCGTGGCTCGAGGGGCGGGACAGGCGGCGGGGCCCAAGGACCGGGGGGGGGGGGGGGGGGGCACGCGCCCACCCAGGGGCTGGCCTCACGGGCCGCGCGGCCTTGCCGGGCGAGGTGGGGCTGTTGCCTCATGAGGGTGGCGGTGCCCGCCTCCCCCCCCCCCCCAGCCCCACGCCCGGCCTGCACTCGGCAGACGTGTCGGGACACGGCTCCGCTCTCACTGCGCCAGGAAGCGCTCAGCCGCCCGGGACCTGGCCACGAGGGGCTGGGCGCCACAGCCAGCACCGGCGGGGGAGCCGGGCCGAGACCCCGGCGAGGGTGAGCCTGGGCAGGAGTCGGCGAGGGCCCGGGGCGGAGGGCGGCAGGGGGGCCGCGGCTGGCACAGAGGGCCTGGTGGGCGAGGCCTCCCTGTGGGAGGAGCCACGGTCCTGGGTGCCTGGCCTGTGGGCTGCCCGGCGTCCACTCCCCACGCTCTCCTGAGGCAGGACCCCACGGGACTCCCGGCGGCCAAGTCTAGGTCTGTGCAGACCCTGGAGGGTGGGCCAGGCAGGCGGGGCTGGAGCGGGCAGGAGGGGGCAGAAGGGGTCCAGGCTGCGGGCCTCTCTCTTGGGGCCTGGAGGGTGCCTGTGGGGCCTGGATATGAGGAGGGACGGGAGGTAGGGCTGCTCTGTGGGGCCCTGGGAGATGGGTGTCCCAGGAGCCTGAGGCCCCCCCACCCCGCCCTGTCCAGTTCCTCCTGCGTGGGCAGAGCCTGGCTCCAGGTGGCCCGAGGGCCTGGGTACCCACTGTCCATTGAGGGCCAGGCCCCAGGAGCTGTGTCCTGGGCATGTAGAGGGCTCCGAGTCCAGGCCCAGGCCGAGGCCGCAGCTCTGCAATCTCTGTGGCTGGGGAGGAGGCTGGGGAGGAGGCTGGGGCGGGAGCGGTGGGCGCCCAGAGGTCTGTGGGAGGGGCTGGCCTGGGGCACAGGAGGTGCTGGATGGAGGCAGAGGAGGAGGAGGGGGCTCCAAGCAGGAGGGGAGCCTGAGCAGTGGCTAGGGGGGGGGCTGAACTCAGGGGGACCCAGAGGAGGAGGCGGAGCCTGGGGCCACTGCGGGGCTGAGAGTTAGGGGCTTGGAGCTCAGCCAAGTGGCCAAGGGGCAGACAGCAGCCTGGGAGCCAGAGTGGCCCCAACTCATTGCACAGACCGAGGGGTGCCTACAAGGGCCGCCCCGGACCCGGGAGTGACCCCAGTGGGACCTGGGGCCGGGGGGGGGCCTGTGTGGCCGGGGGGGGGGGGGCAGGTCCCAGCCCGGGCACAAGGGCAGGGCTTCTGTAAGAGGAGCGAGTCCCAGGCAGAGGGAGCTCAGCCCCTGACACCCCCCCCTCCCGCCAGGTGTCATGAGCTGCAGACTCCATCCCAGCGGGGGACCCCGGGGCAGAGGGACCTCGGAGCAGCCTCTTCCAGCCTCCTGCTGACAGCGCACCCCAGCTGTGCCCCAGGTCACCCCACCTCCCAGTGCCATGGCTCCCCCACCCGGGGACCCAGGGCCCCCCCTGGGGAGCCAGCGACCTTTCCTGAGCATCAACGTCCTGCCTGTGGGTGAGTGAGGCCTCGGCCGGCAGGTGGCTGTGGGGTTCTGGCCCCGCCCCTGCGAGCTCTCCAGAGCAGGTGGGCTGTGGGGGGAGCAGGTGGGCTGTGGGGGGAGCCGGTGGGCTGTGGGGGGAGCAGGTGGGCGGGCTGCTGGGGGCCCCAGGCGGGTGCACCTGTCTGGGTCCGAGGAAGGCAGAACAGACAGGCTTATTGGGGAGACAGCTCGTCGGACCCCTGGGGCCCCTGGTTCTGCTCCTGGTCCTGGGCCGTGCCTCCCTGGGCCGTTCCTCTCTGACCTGTGACCTCTTGAGGTCGGTTACGCTGGTTTAGGCGACGCTGTCTTCTCTCTCGAGTTTGAAAAGGGGGACTAGGAGATGCACAGGTTCTGCACACGGGCCTCAGTGCGGCTGGGTAGGGTGGGCAGCCACCACCCGGATAGGAAGCGGGCGTCCCGCCTGCCCCTCGCTGGGCTGCCCCTCGAGCCCCAGGTCCCCGCTACTCTGGCTTCTCCCACCTCCCCCCCACTCGCTGCATGTCCACTCCCCGTGTTTGGAACCACAGGGCGGCAGGTGAGCCGGCAGGAGCCCTGGCCGGAGGGCAGGGTGGTGCCCGCGGTGCCCGGCCCACCGGCACGCAGGCTCCTCCGAGACGCCTCTCCCTCCCGCCGTGTAATTAGCTCCGGGCCCAGCCGGGTGGAACCTGCCCACGGGGAGAATTCCCCGCCACCAGGCGGGCCGGCGCGGGGAAGTGGGTGCTGGCCCCCCGCCCCCCCACAGTTGGCTGCTCTCTGTCCCGGGTGTTCCGCGTAGGGGGCTGAGCTGAGGCTGCCGATGCGTGTGGCCTGTGTTTGCCCGCTGGCCCTGGCCTGGCGGCCCTGGACTCACCCACCGGAGGGATAAGGGGCACCCAGCCCCCTGGGGGCGGGTGGGCATCATGGGGCCCTGGGCTGCGGGGTATATCGGGGTGACTTCTTCTCCGCTGGGTTGTGGGGCCTGGGCCTGGGTCCCCGCTTAGGGGCGGGTTCTGGGTGTGGATCCGGACCCCCTGGACCCATCTAGTGTGGGAACCCCGGCTTCCGGCTTCCTGGGCCCTCTGCCCGGGGCTGCCTCCGGCTGCTGGTGGGTGTGGAGGGTGTGGGGCAGGGTTCCTCTGGCTCTGCTGTCCCGGGAGGTGGGGGAGGAGAGCGAGGAGGGAGGGTTTGCGTGAGGCCCAGCCAGCCCTGTGGGTGCGACGACGGGCCTGCCTCCCAGGGGGGCTGTGCTCCCCAGGACCCGCTCTTCCTGGGGGGCCCTGCAGCTCGCTCGGCAGCGGCTCCCAGGGCCGCGGTGGTGGCGGGAGCATTCACACATGTGCAGCGTGTGCGGCGCGGATCTGTGCATGTGCGTGCACGTTCACGCTGCCGGCACCCCTGCGCCCGCTCGGCCAGCCCGGGCTTGCTCCGCCACGCTCCCCAGATGCGTCCGGACAGGCCTCCACCACAGCCCCCGCTCCCCCCGGCTCGGGCCCTGCTTCTCAGCTCTGCTGGGAAGGAGCACCCCGAGGAAAGCGGGTGGGATGGGCAGGGAGGCTCTGGGCCCCCCTCCAGGGCCCCGGAACCCGGCTGTGGGACCAGGCGGGGCCCCGGGGGGCGGGGAGCCTACAGTCCTGGGTGTGGGGGGGCGACTGGATCCAGAGGTGATGGTGCCTGAGACGGGGCTCCCCTTGACCTGCTGTCCCTCCCGGAGCCCTGTCCCCACAGCCTGGCTGGCTATGCTGGGTGCTGGGCTGAGGGATGGGGCACCTCATCCGGCCCCGGAGGTCCCTCTGGCGGCACCACTGACCAATGGGAAGTGTCCCAGCCAAGAGGAGGGCAGGCCCAAAGCGGGGAGCCGGCCCGGTCCTGGGGGCCGCCTGCGACTGTCCCCCTGTGGTCAGGCCCCCCTGTTTGGGGCCGCAGTGTGTCCTGGGAGCTGCCGCACCTGCGGGCTGATGCCAGCCTGTCCCTCCGCGGACCCCCGTGGGTGCGGGCGGAGTCCCAGCGGCATCCAGAGGTGCGGCCTGCGGGCTGGTCTGGGCCCTCACCTTTCGGACCGCAGGGCCCGGTCAGGCGGCTCATGTGCAGCCCATGGCGCTGCCCGGTGCCTGCTCTGTGTCAGCCCCATTGAGACTGGCGGTCGCCATGCGTGACTAGGCGGTGAGCGGGGCCTGGGGCTCCCACACGGCCGGTCTCAGGGCGGCCTTGGCCCCTGGCCCTCGGCCCGGAGAGAAGCCCTGCTGGCCGGGCTGGGGGTGGACATGTGCACGGCCCGCGGCCAGGGCGGTGGGACTGCGAGGAGGCTCAGGCCCCACCAGCAGCCCCGCCCCCACCCTGTGCTTGCTCACCCCAGTTCTCGGTATCCATGGTAACCGAGGGGGTGTCAGCGCGCCTTAATCCCCTCCCGGGGCTCAGGGTTGGGGAGAATGCAAACGAGCGGCTCCCGGAGGCCCAGGGAGGAGGGTGACGGGGCGAGTGCGGGGCCTGGCCCCTCACCCAGTGCTGGGGGCCTGGCACCTGGGCTTCCAGCAGTGGGGGTGGCAGCGCTAGCCGTGCCCACAGCTGTAGGCACCAAGGGCCACGCTGAGTGTGGCGAGGCCTGAGCTGCCCCAGGCTGGGACCCCCTGGTCCTGACAGGCTCCGCCCTCCGGGATCTAGGGCACCCGCCCCAGATGCTGTGGGTCAGGGCAGGGCCGGCAGGGCTGGGCTGGACAGACAAGGAGGGGGCGTCCTGCAGGGAGAGAGGCCCTGGCGTCTGGGAGTGAGGGGGGCAGTGGCTTCCCATCGGCTGCCTCAGGTCCCAGCCTGCCCCTCACCAGGGGGTTTTGGGATCTTGCTTCTGGGGGTGCAGGGCCCTGCGGCATCAGAGGGCCGGTCCATGGGAGTTGGGCTTCTGGAGGCAGGCCTGCCGCCCGGGGACACAAGGGGCGCCCCCTGGACTCCCTGGCCTGGTGGCCGCTGATACCCTGCAAGGTGCAGGTCCCACAGGCCGTGGGAGAGGGCGGGGGCACATGTGGAGTGGTAGCCTCCTTCCCTGAGGCAGAGGTCTTGGGGGTACCTGCCCCACCCGGCTCTCCCACCTGAAAGCGTGTTCAGATCCACCACACCCCCGGGACTCTGCCGGCCGGGCTGGCTTCTCCTTTTTCCTGAGACGAAAGCGAGACCAGCTCCAAGGAGGTGCTGAGGGGTCACGCGCCTTTCCACAGTCAGGCCGCCTGGTGCTGGGCCGGCAGGACGCACGGACTCCCTGTCGGATGATCAGGGCCAGCGCCTGCTCCCGGGCCAGGCAGCTCTGGGCTCCTTCCTTCCCTGGGCACCTCGGGCACCACCTGCCCAGGGTCCCTGTCCTCACGCCGCAGCACGCACCTGGCTGGGGACCGGGCAGAAGCTACGGGACCATGTGCCCTCAGGCCTCTGTGTGCAGCTCCGCCTGCTGACACAGTTCCCACAGTTCTAACCGCGGCCACCGTCCGGGGAGAGCGCGGCCAGGTCTCCCTCCAGACCCCGCCCCCCCCTCCGAGCACCAGGCTCCGGGAGAGGAGGGCAGTCCTGCTGGGGGTCCCGCCCTGGGCCCAGTGGCCGCCCTGTGCCGGGCACGGGTGCTCACGGTGCCGTGGGTGGACCTCGTGGCACGTGAGCCAGGCAGGTGTGTGAGCAGGGCCACCGGTCCTTGACGCGCTGGGCTGACAGGGAGGCCGGAGCCGCCATGGCAACGGGTCCCTTAGAAGCAGCGTTTCCGTGACCCCAAGCCGCACAGGGAAGGCTGGGAAGGCTGTGAAGTGTGGGCTTGCAGCTTCCACGCCCCCCGGACCCGAGCCCAGCACACCCCAGGGCTGTGCAGGCCGGGGACAGAGACCCCGCTCCGCAGGCGGACAGGGAGGCAGGCGAACCCCACTCTGCAGGGCTGGCTCCGTCCAGGGAAGGGTCGGGGGCTGCTGGCCACCACGTCGGGAAAGGGGGCTGGGCGCCGGTCAGCAGGTCACTTGGGGGCCAGCACGCAGACCAAGGCTGGCTGGACTCTTGGGGTGTGGGCCTGGCAGCTGCTTCCCTGTAGGGGAACCTGGTCTTAGGGTTCCCTCGGCCAGGCCCGGGCCACCTGGGGCTGATGCACTGACCCAAATGCCTCTGGGCCGACCGGGGCTGGGGCGGGCCCTGCAATGGCCTGCAGACGAGGGCAGCACCCGCATGAGGGAAGCTGCTGTGAGTTTCCGGGGGCCAGAGGCTGTCTGGCCGCATGGAGGTGTCTGGAAGGTGGGAGAGGGGGTGGTGGGTGGGAGAGGCTTCGTGCAGGGGCTGGAGAAGCCACCCAGTGAAGGGGTCCCCTGGCCAGGCTCCAGCTTGGGTGGCAGCACCTCCGTGCAGGGAGCTAGGGAAGGGAGCAGATGGGCCTGGCCCAGCTCAGAGGCCCGCCCTGTCCTGAGGCCCCGATGGAAATGCCTCCATGCCCGCCCCCCCAGGTGCCTCCCAACGTGTCCCCCCTCCTCTAGTCAGCACCACCTGGGCACAGCAGGGTGCCTGGCGGTCTCAGGCGGGGGGGGGGGGGGAGCCTGCTCTGAGCTGGGGGCCAGGTCACCCGTCTCCTCATGAGCCCCCAGGAGGAGCCTGGAGACCCCCCACCCCCAGCCAGGCGGCCGCGGCCGGGCTGCCCACGGCGGGCTCGGTGCGTGGGAGGAGGAGCTGGGAGCCGGCCCCGCTCGCCGCCTTAGTTCCGATGGAGAACGGGACGTCTTAAGACCAGATGCTCGTGAGAAAGCCACGCGCACACTTTCTAAATTTAGCCGCTGATTGCACATTTACCCACTTAGGCTTATTGACGGGGTGCGAGCGCGCCGCCCCTGTGCATCCTGGCCCGCGCCTGGCTGCTGACCTCGGGCTCAGAAGCTCTGGAGCCGGGTTCTCGCCAGGGCTGCCTGGTAGGCCCGGAGTGACGCTGCCAAAGGGCAGTCTCAGGGGCCACGGGCAGCGGGTCAATCTGACTGGACTCCCCTCTGCTGAG